ACTCTGGAGCGGGCCACTTCTCTCGAGGAGTCCAACACTTTCCTTCGTGGCTCGGTCGTCAAGCACAAGACGGTATGTTTCTTCTCACGCTTCGCCTTGTGTTGGTGCTAAGTCAGCACTAGGGCGGCTTCTTCATGACGTTCTTGGCCAACATCCGCGGCCACAAGATCGCGCGTCTGGAACGTACCCTGGAGGAGCGTAGCGCTCAGCACGCGGAGAGCATGCGCACGGTTATTGCGACCATCTACGGCTTCTTGTCTGTTCTTCAGTCGGGCGCGGCATCGCACAACTCACTCGCGGCTTCCTTCGCTTCCATCGCCGCCTCGCTCCAGTCCCTCTCGGCACATGGCGAGTCCATCAGCGCGTCTGTCCAGAACCTCGAAGAGGCCACCGACTCTACCGCGTTCGCAACCCAAGAGACCCTTTACGCTGCCGCTTCCGTCTTTGCCGAGACCACAGCCGAGGTCAAGACCGCCGTCCAGCTGGGCACGGACTCCACTCGCGAACACGTCGAACGATCCGTCACCGCCGCCTTTGCCGCACACGCTGCTCGTCAGGACGCTCAGTCCAGCCTCATCCATGCCCTCCAGGGCGAGGTCGCCACGCTCCAGGCTTCCAAAGCCAAGCTCACCCAGGACAACGCCGACCTCTTCGAGGACAACAAGAACTTGCACAAGATTGCCACGCGCGCTCACAAGAACGACACGGAGTCCCGGGCCGAGGTTACCAGTCTTCGCATCGCATTGGATGCCGAGCAACAGACGAAGGCGTCTCTTCTGGCTCGGATCCGTGAACTCGAGCTCATCGTCGAGAACGCCGCCGCTTCTCCCTCTACGCCGCCTGCCTCCATCTCTCACTCGGACTCGACCGCCTCTTTCATGGCTCTCGCGCTCTCACCGTCCGACGATCTCCTCGATGTCCAACTGCCGGAGAGCACCTCGTTCGCTTCCGTCGACGGCTTCGAACCCATGTCTCCCATCGAAGAGTCGGATCCGTTTGACGACGACCCTTTCGACTCTGACCCCATACTTGCGATCCCGATTATCCGCTTGACAAGATCTGCACCGTCATCGCCTCAGCACAAGTTCGCGACCACCAAGCACATCAACTGGTCTCTGCTTCATCCGTCCTGGTCCGACCCGACGGATCTGAGCTCGTACCTCACGCCAACGCCAACGCTCGCCAACACTCGCCACGATTCGCCCTTTGTCTCGTCTTCCACTTCGACTTCAACTATTACTTTCGACCCACCTTCGACTTCGCCGCTCGTTCGCTTGCCGACTTCGCCTACTCTCTCTTCTCGCTCGCCACTGGACCGCCGCAACACGCCACCACACGCGCTCACACATCGTGACCGCCGCCACTCTCGAGGTTAAGCGTCGCCTGAACACTCACCCCGATCGCCTTTGAGACCGCTAGGCGGCTCATTGGAAGACCGACGGGGCGCTTCCGACCCACCATTGCAGCCAGCTCCGGTCTTGTAGACCGTCTGGACCCCCTGCAATGTACCCGCGCTATAACCTCGACGAGACTGGCATCTTCTCAACTCTGTGGCACCGGCATTCCCTTTGGCTCCTATCTATATCGGACTCTCTTCGGCAGCGGCAGCGTCTCTTCCATATCTTACTGTACAATCTTTGTTGCTTCATATCTCTTACCATATTTCCTTACGATACGTACTGTACTCTTCCCTTTCCTTCGAGTGTGGCAGCTCGGCTTTGGCATTATGGTACAATGACAATGCATATATCTTCGAGATCTCATTTCCCTCGCGTGATCACCTTGGAAAGTCCCTCGACACCCGAAAGCGAGAGCATGGATATCAAGCATGTATACAATTACGAGTTGTACGGGGTCTCAATTAGTACCTCTTGTGTACTAGATGGGGCCGCGATATGCAGCTTGGACTTGCCATGAGGGATGTACTCCATCCTTACGCGCGGGCCGTCGACGTGAGTGACGCTGCCTATCTGGAGCCACGGACCGATCATGCGATAGAGGCACTTCTCCATCCGATGTGTGAGATCCACGTCGCTCAGCAGGATCATCGGCCTCTGGTCGTGGAGATACAACCAGAGGTGCTTGAAGAGGATGTCGCTCTCGTCGAAGGTGTCCTCGTCGACGACGTTAATGAGACTAGTCTCGGCTATCCCGATGAGACGCAGGCCGGCGAATGGTAGTTGTGCGCTCCCGTCGTCGTGTAGGCAGCGTCGCATCCATGGTATGACGTAGGCCGCGGCATCGTTCACCAGGCGTAAGTTGGCTATGGTGTGCTCTCTCAACCATTTGAAGCACGCGTGAGGGGTGAGCCGACCACCAGGAACGGTGTCGAAACTCCCAATGACCGTGATATGGAGAACCGTGAGGAAATATCTTGTCTGAAATGGGCCGTAGACATTCTGCAGGAAGCGCAGGATATCCTCCGCGAGGTTGTTATCTCCGACATCCCATGTATGTCTCCAGTGGAATCTTCGCGTGTCGTCGGATATGGCTATCTCCAGTTCTCCCGAGTCGAAGTCGATCTTATACTCCATTTCATGGAAAGCCTCGTCATCGGGTATGGCCTGTCCTAAGACATTGAAAAAAGCGTACGTCTTGCGTGCCTCGTTGGGGAGGTCTAGCCCGTAGTCCCTATGAGCGTAGGTCAAGTTCAATGTGGAGAGACTGTGCGGGACTTGCAACATAGGCAATAGTCGACAGACGTAACGATATGAACCTTGAAGATTGAGCAGGTTGAGATTGGGGAAAGTGATGGGTGCGTGATGGGTATCCGGGATCTGGAATCGGTCTTCTTCGAAGTCTGGTATGTCCGGAAGATCCCAAAGGAATAGAGTCTCCAACTTCGGCATCCGACTCAACAGCGAAAGCAGCTCACTTGCTGTGCTCCAAGGAGGTGAGCAACGCGATAGCGTGAGCTGTGTGAGTGTCGGGACAAGAAGCGAGCAAGGAGACTTTAGATCGACGTCGTACATGGCGATAGTCTCGAGAGAAGGAAAGACCTTCTCTGCCCACTGTTGAGTCGGGACAACCTGTTTGTTGTAGGCATTCCAATGTAATGCTCGTAACGACGGCGCCGAGCGTGACACGAGAGCGTGAAATAGTTGTGCAGCAGTACGTTCCTGCCACTCGGAGTCGAGAGAGGCGAAGCCAACTTTGAGCTCGCCAATACGGGGAAGTTCTTCCAGGACGGACAAGAACGCGCGCTGTGATGGCCAATTCGTGGATCCATCGACGGTGACCTTCAGAGGAGTCACTCCTGATAGACGGAGCGACTTGGCCACTGTCAATTCGTTGTTGACTACAACATGTCGCCAAAAGTGCGGAGAAGCCTCGATGACTGAGCGCCAGTGTTTACAGACTAGCAGAAGTTCCAGATAATCCCAAGGTTTGTAATCGCAGAAGCGCACACATCCGTGAGGGAACAGAGCTTCGGCGATGCATCTGGCATGGCCAGCATGCCCCGAGTAGAAATCGAAGAGATATGGTGATGCCTCCGCCGTGAGAGCTGCTTCGTCGTCGTGACGCGGGAGGCGTGAAGGTTTCGCGTGCACGCGGGTCCATAGGGATGTTACGAAAGGTAACGGCTCCACGATGCGCATGAGCAATTCGGCAGGTAGCATATTGATATAGCATGGCTTGGAAGCCTTGCATTGGAACGAATAGTCCGTGAGTCGGTATTGAAGGAGTGTTGTGGGTTGAGAATTGTTACGTTGTTCGACACGAGGCTGAAGGCCACGTCTGGCACTGCGACTTTCCTGTACCATGTTCGTGGGCGTGAAATCACTCTGTCAAGTTTGACCTAGCTCACGGTATGCAACTTGTATCTCGAGAATCCAAAAGCTGTGAGCCTGGTTTGACCTTGCCTTCGACGAGCCATGGTCGCAAGAAGCAAGAGCGATGCAACGCAGCTCCGGCGGCCCGAGACGTCATTCGCGCTCACGTGAGTTGACCTTGATCTTCTGCGATTCAAGCTTCCATTAGCTTGAGGGTGACGAAACAAACGATAGTCTTTCAAAAAGTCATCTAGTACAACTAGAACACATCAAGGAAGTGCGAGGGGTGATATACAAGGGAGATGCACGAAGAAATGGGTCTCGAACGTACACTAGTACGAGTCATATGGCGTCTCGATCAATATTTCGTCCATGCTAGGTGGGAAGGAAATATATAATTGATCATGCGGCGCAACTTCCATCCTAACACACGGACCATCGACGTGAGAGATCGTGTCAACATCAAGCCATGGGCCAAGCATCCTGCTGAGATACTTGTGCATTCGAAACGTCATCTCCACGTCCTTCAAGACAGTCTCCGGCCGCTGGTCGTGGAAATAGAGCCACAGGTGCTTGAACAGGATGTTGGTTGGGTCATCCGCCAGATCTGATGGGTCAAGGTTCCCCACGAGACTGGTGGAGGTGATTATAAGATGGCGTAGAGCAGGGAATGGAAGACTAGCTTCCTTGGCCTCATGCAAGTGGTAGCGCATCCACGGTATGAAGTGAGAGGCGGCCTCTCCTGCGAGGTGTAGATTGGCGATAGAAGGGAACTCCGCGAGCCAGGAAAAGCACGCGCGCGGCGTAAGATCAAACCAACCGTCCGCGATGAATTCCCCGGCCACGGAGACGCGCAAGTCGGTGACTGTGGATTTGGAGACGAAGCGACGGGCTATGCCCTGCAGAAAGTCAAGAATGGCCCCGGCGAAATTGGCGTCTTGGGGATCCCACGTATGCCTCCAGTAAAATCTTCGGCAATCGTTTCCAGAGACGGCGATATTCATCCCTCCCACGTCGAGGTCGATGCTGAACTCCAAGAACGAGAATACTATCCCCGAGGCAGCCACAGCCTTGGCAAAAGCGCCCAAAGACGCGTGGATCTGAACAATATCGGAGGTCGGGTTAAGGCCGTAGGGCTTGTGTGAACACTTAAAGTTCAATGCAGAGATGATTGGCGATATCTGTAGAGAGCGGAAGACGCGATAAACATAGCGGTACGAGCCATCCAGATTGAGGGTGTGTAGGCGAGGAAGCGATATAGGTAGCTGAGTTACAGGAAGTATCCGGAAATGGTCCGCCTCGAAGTCGGGTATATCGGGTAACTCCCATAGGAAGAGGAGTTCGAGCATCGGCATGCAACCCAGGGTTTCGAACATTTCATTGGCGGTTGTCCAAGGTGGCGAGCAACGTGTGAGTGTGAGGTTCACAAGCGTCGGGGAGAGAAGTGAGCAAGGATGGCTCAAATTTATAGTATGCATGACGAGGGTTTGGAGGAATGGGAATCTTCGTTGTTTCCAGTGTTGGGTGGACACGTCGTGCCGTACTTGAGCGCTCCAATTCAATTCTCGTAATACGGGTGCCGGCGAGCTGGTAAATGCACCAAGGACATGCTCCACGGTGGATCGGTATTGTGAGTCCTTCACGAAAGTACCAACCTCGAGCGTCTCGACACGCGAAAGCTGGTGAAGAACAGACGCAATCGCTTGTTGTGACGGCGGCATCGCCAGAACCCCGTCGATCTTTACGCGCAGAGGCGTCGCGCCCGATAGCTTCAGAGACCTCGCGACAGTATCTTCATTCTCAACCACTATGTCGCTCCAGAAGCGCGGGCAGGATCTGATTATCGAGCGCCAGTGTCGACAGACGAGCATGAGGTCAACACGGTCCCAAAGTTCGCCTCGGCAGAAACGAGCGCATCCGTGAGGGAAAAGGGACTCTGCGAGACATGTCGCGTAGCCCGCGTGATTAGAGGCGTAATCCAAGAGCCAGGGTTTTACGTCCTTGGCGGCAGTAACTTCGTCGTCGTGACGCGGCAGGAGCGCAGGCGTCGCATGGACGCGAATCCAAACGGGCTCTCTTGATGGCAGCTCCTCCAAAATACGCATGAGAAGCTCGGGGGGTAGAGCATTGATATAGGAAGGCCTCCTCGGACAATAGGTGAAGGAGCGTTCCGTGAGTCGAGATTGACGGTGGCTTTTGGCGTGAAGGTCCCCACTTCGCCATTTGACTCTTCGTCGTCGAGCAGCCGGCTAAATCGGCCATCTATCTGAGCGTCTTTGTAAGGCCAAAACGAGAAGCACATACCGATGGTGAAGGTGGGCATCTCACAAATCCAAAGTGAAATAGTCTCGATTGAACATACATGGCCGTTCGTGCGCAGGGCTGCAGTCGCCCATGGCCGACGCAAGAACGTCGGCATTCAGTGCCTGGTCGCGATCACATGAGTTTGGCTGCGGAGACGCGTCTCGAATCTATCCTCGTTTCAAGCAGCCGGCCGGACCAAGCTGTGATCAATCCCCATGCTGATGGTCGGTCTGCTTTCATCTTCAATCGAGGCGGAGTACTTTGCATGTGGAAACATGCACAATGTGCGATAGATTTGACATTTGTCTATGGATTGTAAGGGGCCTCTATTCGCGTTTCATGTGTGCTAGGTGGGAAAGATATATATAATTGGTTGTAAGGCCATCCCTCCATCCTGATATGTGGACCCTGGATAAGTGATGCCCTTTCTGTGCGAAACCTCGGCCCCAACATGTTGTGGATGTACTTGAGCATGCGATGCGTGCAGGACACATCACGTAGCAAGATGCCCGGCTGCTGATCGTGAAGATAGAGCCAGAGGTGCTTGAAGAGGATATCGGTGGGATCATCTTCGGAATACGGAAAGCCGAGGTGTTCGGCCAGACTGGTGGCGGAGATCGTCATGTGCTGGAGGGAACGGAAAGGCAGGGCAAAGCCGTCCGCTTCGTGCAGACAGCGACGCATCCAGGGTATGATACGCGAGGCGGCATCTTTTGTGAGCTGAAGAGTGGTGACGGCGCGGAGCTGTCCAAGCCACCCGAAGCACGCCTCCGGGGTAAGATGTTGTCCGAATTCCCCGCCGAACTCTCCACGCACGATGACTTCCAAGTCCGTGAAGGAAAACCGGGAGAGGAAGGGCGCGCATGTGCCCTTTACGAAGTCGATTACGTCTCCTGCATGATGAGCGCGGTCAGAGTCAAGCATATGCTTCCAGTAAAACCTCTTATTCTCCTCATTAGAGATGGAGATCTGGATCTCTCCCTCGTCGAGATCGACGTCGCAGTCAATCTGTGAGAAGTTCGCACTGGGTGGAGGGGATACAGCTGCTGCGAACGCTTCGAATGATGCGTAGTTTTGCGCAGCTTCGGTAGCGGGCTCAACGCCGTAGGCCCTGTGTGAGGCGTTCAGGTTCAATGCGGAGATAGTAGGCGCGATCTGGAGGTTGCGGAAGATGCGATGGACGTAGCGATACGAGCCGTCGAGGTTAAGGATCTGTAAGCGCAAAAGCGGGATGGGCAAGCGCAATGCGGACGACGGCTGGAAATGGGGTTCCTCGAAGTCAACCACGTCGGGTAACTCCCAAAGAAAGAGCACTTCGAGCATTGGCATGCGGCTCAATGTTTGGAGTAGTTCTTCGGCCGTGTTCCAAGGTGGTAGCGATCGCGTAAGAATGAGGGTCGTCAGAGTTGAGGAAAACAACGGGCAGGGTGACGTGAGTTCTACGTCGTGCATGATAATGCTTTCAAGGGAGGGAAACAGTTGTTCCTTCCAACTCTGGGTGATCAGAGCCTTTCTAGGCCCTAGCGTACTCCAGTAAAGGCTTCGTAACGTAGGTGCCGGACGAGAGTTGAATGCAGAAATGATATTCGCAGCGACATCATCGTCCACGGTCCTGGCACTGAGTTCTTCGAAACGATGTAGGTGATCGAGGACGGAAGTGACTGCCCATTGTGACGGCCATCTGTACCCTCCGTCCATGTTGACATGCAAAGGCGTGACACCCGACAGCTCAAGAGACCGTTGTACAGTTCGCTCGTTGTTGATCGGGATCCGATTCCAGAACCGCGGGCATGCCTCGATCACCGAGCGCCAATGTCGGCAGACGAGCATGAGGTCGAGATAATCCCACGGTTTGCTGTCGCAGAAACGCGCGCATCCGTTGTGGAAGAGCGCTTCGGCGAGACAGGTCGCGTAGTCGCCTTGCATAGCAGCGCAAGCAAGGATCCAAGGCTCTACGTCCTTTGATGTAGCGGCCTCATCGTCGTCGTGACGCGGCAGCTGTGAGGCTTTGGCATGTACCCGAGTGAAAACGAATTCTACGAAGGGCATGTGCTCCAATATGCGCATGAGTAGTTCGGATGGAAGAATATTGATGTAACATGGCCTTCTTGGCGTACAGCTGAACGAATGCCGAGCGAGTCGGGATTGGACGAGTCCAGCAGAATCGGCACTGCCCTCTCGCATCTCGTCGCCGCTTCGCCCTCGTCGACTGAGGAGACTGCTAGTAGCGACCTGACACATCCATCTGAGCTCAAACATCACCATTCAATGAAGCTCGCTCACACACCGAGCGCCGCTTCCTCCTTCTGAAGCCATAAGCAGTCAATATCGCTTGGAGGTGCATGGCCGTAGAGAGCAAGCCCGTTGCGGATGCGGAATCGCCGGAAATATCGTCCAAAACTCCGAAACGCGGTCACATGGGCTTCACATCAGGCGCGTTCAGCTGATGGCTTGTTCATGCTCCGTCAATTGGGTAGCCGAATCGCGTTTCACTGGAAGAGTAATGGTTTACAGGCAAGCGGAGTTCCTGTGGACGAATTGTGTGCGTCTGGAGATGGCCGCATCTATCTTAGCTGTGTACAAAGGGAGTACCCAAGATGTAGACTCGTGCCCCAATCCTGGACCCTGGCAGACCAACAGCAACCTGCCATACAGGGTCTCACGTACGGCACACGCTAGCACATCCGAGCACAGACAAAGATAGCAGTCAACATTTCAAGTAGCAATACGCATGCGAGCACGCAATCAAGACAGTAAGAGAGCTATTTCGCAACTACCCTTTGCCACGCCTCAGATCTCGCCCTCCTCCGGCGTCTCCGCCCTCGCTGTCGACGGCAACACAGGCGCACCCCTCGGCGCCAGATCCTCGTCGTACCTCGCGCGCTAAATAAAGCAGCCTCACGTCAGCAGGCCAGTCAAAAGGACAAGAAGGGGTGTGAAGCACATACCTTCTCAGCGCGCTCATCCAGCCTCTCATCATACGGCAGCCCCCTCTTGGGCTCATCATGATAAACACTCGCGCTCCTCTCCCTCTCCCTCCCCCACCCGTTATCCCGATGCCCAGCCGGCGGCGGAGGCGCATGCGGCGGCGGGCTGTCTCTCCGACGCCGATCGCGTCCGGCGCCTCCGCCGCGCGAGCCGTAGCGGTCCCATTCTTCATTCCGCCCGTACCCGCCGCCACCGCCGTGATGGTAGTCCTCGCGGCCGCGCGCGTACCGGGCGCTGCTTGCGCGCCGGCCGTGGTCGGCCTCGCGCTCACGCTCGCGGTCGTAGGGGTCTTTGCGCTTGCGGCTTGTCACGGATCCGCCGTCTTCGGACGGGTCGCGCTGGCGCTCCTCGAGCCGTTCCTGTAAACCAAAAGGACGAAAGAGAGATGTGGAGGTTAGCCATCGTGCTCCTACGCATATCTCAGACTGCGTCTCGCAGGTGCAGTGAAGCGGTGTGTATTACCTTTTGCCGCTTTATGAACTTGGCAAACGCCGCGCGGCGCCCCTCGTCGTCCAGCGCTTTGTACTCGGGCAGCTCTTCCATGGCGGGGACTGCGTCTTCGTAGGGCGTGGAGACGTCGATGGGCTGGGGCAGCTTTTTGAGCGCGTAGCGGAGGTCGTCTTGGAGGTGGCGCTGGCGGCGCTCGGCTTTCTTTTTGGCTTCGAGGTCGTCGCGGACGGCTTGTTCGTGGAGCTAGATGCGTGTCAGCTGGAAAGAAGGAAGAAGCGGGAGAGGAGTGGGACGCACGGCTTTGAAGATGAGCTTGAGCTCATCGTCTGTCAGCTTCTGGACTTCCTCGTCCGCGCTGGCCTTGATAACGTCCACAAACTGCGCCTCCTCCGTATCAGTCTTGATAACGAAGCCCTGGCTCTCCTCGCCCTTCTCCTTCTCCTCGCCGTCCACATCCATCTTCACGTCTTGCACCTTATCCTCCTGTGCCTGTGGGGGAACATACGCCTTGAGCGCACGCTCGGCGATGGCGACTTTCGCGTCGAGCTGCTGATCGAGCTCGTCGACGACGTCCCAGAACAGCTCGATGGGATTGGAGCCGGGCTTGCCGAGCAGGTTGTTGTACCGCTCGTCGTCCATGAAGAGCGGGTACACGTCCTTCCACTTCGCGCGCGCGGCGATTTTGCCGGCGTCCTTCAGCTCTTTCAAAAGCTCCTTGAACCCCTCACGCGCCTTGCGCTCCGCGCGCGTCTTCTCCATCTGCTTCCTCCGCATGTGGTTCTCGAACTCGCGTTCCATCACGCGGCTGTAGTCCTCGAACGCCAACAGAATGTCGAGGCTCGGCAAGCTCTGCAGCTCCGGATCGCTCTTATACTCCTCCGCCTCCCGCACCATCCCATGCGCCGTCCGCCACCTCGTAAGCACGTCCACATCCAGGCTCTTAAACAGCGCGACGAGCTTCCCCGCCGCGCGCTGCCGCGCCGCGCGCGCCTCCTGCACCTCGCGGTCCTTGAGCTCCTGGACGTACTCCTCGAATATGAGGCGGCGCTCGGCCTCGACGCGCGCCTGCTGCCAGATCGGGTGCTGCGCGAAGAGCCGGTCGGCGGTGGGGAAGGTCGTGTAGGCGAAGACGGCCGGGTTGCCCTTGAGCATGTTGCGCAGCGCGGGGCGCGTTTTGGCGAGGCGGGCTTCGCGCTCTTCTTGTTCTTTCGCCTTTAGGTTCTCGGTGTACTGTGGCGCATGTTAATAGTGGGAAACATGAATGGAGTGGGAGGAAGTGTGGCGCACCTTCTGCCACGTAGCCTTCTTCTCGGCGAGCGTGTTCAGCGCCTTGTACAGCGGGTCCGTGATGATAGCACGCATAGTCTGGTCCCACGTCCAATTCGCGTCGACGCCGGCCTTGCGCAACAGGAACGTGAACGCCTTCTCGGCCTCGTCCTGGCTCTGGAACCCATTGTGCGGGATGACGGGCTCGTCGGGTAGGGTTGGGCGCGCGGGGAGGACCGAGGATTGGTTGAGCGGGAGGCCGAGGCCGTTGAGGGCGTTGGGCGAGCCGGGGCCGCCGAGGACGGGCGAGGCGTTGCCGATGGGCGCGAGGGCGTTGAGGCCGGGGTTGAAGGTTGGGCCGGTGAGCGCGTTGGGTGCTGCTCTAGAGGTTCGTTAGTGTGGGGAGGGAGATGTATAGGGTAGGAGAAGACGCACGGGGTGGCGGGTGTGGCGGGCGTCTCTTTCCCGATTTTGTCCATCAGGGCTTGTAGCTCGGCCGGCATGTCCCATTTAGACTCTTTCGTCTCAGTCTGTAGGGGGTTGTGAGTGGGGTGAAGAGGGTGTGGGGAGTGGGACGCACGTTGTAGAAGTACTTGCGGCCGCCGGAGAAGTACTCTTTCCATTTCGTCTGGTTTAGCGCTTTCTGTACGGCATCGTCAGTTATATGCAGGATATACGTTGATATCGTGCGTACCTCGAAGGGGTTCTTGAGCTCTGCATACAACGTCAGCACCTTGCCTAGCGAGATGTGGCGAGGACGTACCGTCAGGTTTCTCCCACACGCTCTCCTTGGTTCCCGTATTGAACCAGTACGTGCGCCCTTCGGCATTTCTGTGCTCGGTCTACATCATACATTAGCCACCGTGTTGAGTGCGTAGAAGTGTGAGGCGTACCCAGACGTTCATGGTACTGGCAGACGAGGTGGCGAACGAAAGCAAGGACTCGGATAGCGCGCCATCATCGAAGCGGCGCGAACGCGTGCTTTTGGGTCAGGAACTGATCCATTTTGGGGTCGACGGCGCTTGTGGCACGGCGCGCGGCGCGACCTTGACTTCGGACGCCCATCGTCTGTGGTATCAACTTGTTTGCCCCATAGAGGGTTTGCATTGAAGACAACGCGCCTCCGAGCTTGGGAGAGAGATGTCCTTGGGAATTGGCTCCGCTTGTCAAGCACACCACGGATCTCAAGCGCGCGGCGAGCAACCCTTCTTCCTCGCTCATCGCGGCTGCGCGCTCTTTCTTCCTTGCATCGCGAACGTGTTCTGCGTCATCGCGTGATGCGTTGCCCAGATCTGCCGTCAGCGCCTGCATAGAGGCGTGCCCTCTTTGGGCGCTACAGGCCGCTAGCCACGACGATCGAAGACTACGGACGGGGAAGAGGTCGCAAGTCGCGAGTAGACTCGGTAGTTGAAAAACTCTTGACTCTGCGATTGACCCGGACATGCGCCGTGACGCTGCTTTGTGCTATGCAATGCAGAGGCTACGCCGTGCTCAGACGCGCGCCCGACGATAGTAAACGCGGAGCAGTTCTGGCCCTGCATGGTTTAACTAGGGTCAAGTTACGTAGCTCGCTATATACGATGGTGATCTCTCCAAACCTCAACAGACCGCGGAAGTCAAAGCCAAAACAACGTCGCGTTGCGGCGGTGCCGCGCGCTGCAGCCAGTATACGTGAGAAAATGCACGTGCTGAGATGCCCGACCCAACTTGTTGCCAACTTGTGGCGCGGCGCGACTTAAGCTCAGACACCCATGTTCGACTTGAGCCGTGCTGCGAATATCCTATGAAACGCGCCCAGAGCTCTTTGGTCTCATATGGCTCGTCGTCAGACGAAGAAACATCAACTCCTGCTCTGCCGCCGCCACCTAAGAAATGTCGTCTCCCCGCTCTCTCCTCTGCGGTAGTTGTCCCGACGCCCATCGACGATCCGTCGAAGCATCAAGGCCGAATACGCTCTTCTCCCCATGTCGAAGGTCAATGGGCGGCCTATGTATATGTCGCGCTACCTCTTCGCGGGGCCGAGAATGCTGCGCTTGCGCGGATTGTACGGAGAGCGTTTGCGAGGGCTAAAGAGCTGGAGCCCGCGCTGCATGCCATTGGGTCTACGGCGGACGATACCAGTGGACTATTCGAGCTCCATGTCTCTCTTACACGCCCGGTCTTCTTGCGTGCGCACCAACGAGAAGAAGTCAAGATAGCGGTGAAGCGTGCCGCGCAAGCATCCAACCCGTGAGTCTACCCAATTCTACATTCGCTATACAGCTCATCATACCGTACGCGCAGCGACTGAAGATGGATTTCTTTAGCTTTACTCTATCTCTTGCGTCATTCGCACAGTTGACGAATGATGAGCGAACGAGAACCTTCGTCTGTCTGGAGGTTGGCGCGGGCCACAGCGAGGTACATTTTCTGCCCTATTACCCAGAGCTCAATGCTGATGATATCTTTCAAGCTGAAGGCACTATCTGATGCTTTGACGCCTACGCTCCGTCAGTTCAGACAGAAGAGCTACTACGATTCTCCCCACTTCCACGCCTCATTCGCGTGGGCGCTCCTTGAGCCTGCCTCCATACCCGCCTCAACTGCAACACCCACCACATCCACTGCTTCAACTCCAACCCCGGAGAGCACCCCGACGTTCGCGAGAATCAGGGACCTTCCGGATGGGCTACTGGATACTCTGAATGATGAGTTCGGGCGCGAGTTGGCGGCAGCGGCTGCGTGCTTCGATGTGAGTGAAGTGAGGATACGGATTGGGAAGGATATGTCGGTGTATAGGTTGAGCGGATGAAATATATGGTTGGCGAGATCTCCATGGTCTTGCCATTTCATCACCACTTCACGGCTACTTTCAGCATTCAAGCTTTCAAGGTCAACGGCGCATGCTGGGGCGGCAATACACGCAAGAGCCTCCGCGGATGCTCTCTGATCCAGACTCGACATTATCCCGTCTCCGAGTCGGTTCAACAGGCAACGCTGGCGTCCGAACCAGTCCGTATCGAAGCGCCCACGACCATTCTACCGCCACACGGCGCCTCGGTTGTGAGCTCGGCGTCCGACTCTAGTCTCGAAACCCGACATGAGAAGGCGAGCACTCACAGTCCGACTCGGCCCGCCCAACTTCAACTTCATTTCACTTGCTGTCGGGTGTCCTGAAGCCGGAAGACGAGTCCGGACATCATACACAGCCTGAAGCTCGAGGACGGCAACTCAGACGCTGTTTCGGACAACGGCACGGGCGAACTCGGCGACGGGAATCATGACCGAACGGACCGCGACGGACCGTCGGCGGGCCGGCCTGTCCCCTTCGCACTGCCCGACTGAAGACCGAGCGCCTTCGGGAGCGAACGCATGTTTTGCGACTTGTAACGCTTGTACATACGCATTTATCACCGCCTTACCGGCGATACTCACTCGCGTGCGGATATGCATGTTTCCATTAGCAAGCCTTCAAGCGGAGAGGAAAGGTAATGTCAACCTTTACACGCCGCGCGGGATGCACTCGACATAGCTAAGATTTTGGATAGTGTACGCGCGTATGGCGATACGGTCGGCTTGAGGACGCGTGGAGACGGCTCTTCTCTTTGGTACTTGGACTGGCAGCAAGCTATAAGGACACCTACGATGCCACCTATCTCAAACCACTTCACTCTGTCTTACTCACTACGATGCATCCCTTTCCCCTCGCTACTCTGATCGTATGCGCCTTTGAGATTTCCGCTCTTCGGAGTACCATGTGAGTAGCTTCACTCATGCTTTGTGACGGATACATATTGACCGTATCCATCTAGAACTCAACCCCGCGCAGGATCCTCTGAGCAATGTTCTGCCGTCGCCAAGATCATCTCTGGCGATGCCGAGCTTAGACGGCGTCTCTCCGAGCGATGTGTGGGCGAGCACTGCATCACAAATGCCTTGGGCGACGAAGTATCTTCCACATCCACCATGGCTGCCTCTGAACCTGATACAGTGATAGTTCGGACATCGTCCTCGTACGTCCTCTTCGTAAGCATACACGCGCATAGCTCATCCCGCTTTTCAGACCGAATACCGTGCAGACTTCAACTTCGACTACCACTGCTATGACTGACGCTGCCACTACGATTACGACTACCACTGATACAAGTATCACCACTGCTACCGCTGCTATCGGTCATGTCGTTTGTGCTTTTGAATGCTGCATCGTCATTCCTCCTTGCTAGGGTACATACTACTCTCAGTCAGTTGTGGAGAGCAGGCCTCTATACAATTTCGAAGCTCCTCTCGTATTCTACGGCATGATCATGTAATCATAACAGTCACCACTCAGATGCAATCCAGATAGGCGCAGACCTATCACCCAAAACTGTTGCCGGATGTTGCCGAAGAGTCCTCTCACGACCTCCGAGGAGGGTTTATGGCCTGCTTCTAACGGTCATCACCATCTTGCGCGAGGTCAACAACCCGAAGTCGTAGTTCGCCAGCCTGTTGATCCACACGCACAATGAATATTCTGTATACATCAATGGATAGTCCTGGGTAATCGAGTCACCGCTCACGGTGCCGGTCATCATGCAGCATGGAACGAACTACAACATCAACATCACCCTGTATCTGTCATAGGCCGTTCTTCATTCTATCGGAGTATCCTCTCCAGCCGGCAATACATACCTGAGATGCCGACAGGATGAACATACGGGTCTTTCTTGCCTTCTTCAGGCGGCAAGATATCAGTATGCCGTATCCGCATCCGCATATGCATCCGCTCACCTCGTTACCGCAGGTCCTTGTGTCCTGACCTTGTCTCACATGTCCATTCTTTCCGTGATATCTCGCTCGCGTCAGGCGTTACTTGCCGTCTTCATTGCGCGTTGCGTCCTGTGTACCCAAAAGGTTCTTGAAACCTCGTCGGATGGCCAAGTTGGAGCATGGCCACTGGTCGACGCCGGCCGGATCGTCGTAGGTTGTCCGTAGAAATCGCCGATCTTCTGCCTTCTGATACACTTTGATCAGTACTTTGCTATGAGTTGCTTCTCATAATCAGCCTGTTACAAGTGTACCGCGATCATCTCGTATGATACGGCTGCGCGGCCGCCGACCATTGGTCACCTCTCTCCATCCATTCTCCTCACATGCTACCCTCTCGTCAAAAGCGAACTCATTGCACGTTTTGTGCTGTATCTCACATCGTGTTGCTGTACCGTGGCCAACCGCAGCCAGGTGAATCCGATGTGAGTATGATGAATGGGTGCCTCAGCACATCCTGTAACCCGTGCGGCCCGAGCTCCGTGCATGTCTTCTCCATGGAGGTCGACATACCGGGCAGAGAACCTGAACATCATCCTCAAGCGCAGTTTCATCCGTCAAAAGGGTCTGGCTCGAGTGGATGACGAGTCGTACCGACTCAATCGTGGAGCAGGATACATCTCGGTGTCTGTTTCACGACATGACTGTGCGCCTCACGCAGGGTTTGCCGGGATGGTGATAGTATTTGCCTGTTGTAAGGCAAGGGGAGCGCAGCTATTCTCGACAAGCGTACGTGTACGGCGGATAGAGTCAATATAAATATGTTCAATGGATAGCGGTTCTTTCCAGGCTCTCGCCCATCTTCGTGATTATCTTCATGATAATCATGCACTCCTCTCGGTTGTCCTGCCTCGTTCTTCTAGCTCTCAATCTCTTTGCCACGGCTGCGCCTGCTGGTAAGCCACGCGGCCACGCTGGGTGAGTATCCCTATGCACTTACTAGAAACTTATCTTCCAACCGATCAATGGCAGCACTGGCAAGCACGTCGATGCAAGCTCTAAGGAGTCCGAACTCGATGCCTGCCAGATGGTCAACCACGTCCCTCGCAGCGAAGAAGCCATATGCTCGAATCTTCTTGTCGGTCTCAAGCTCGTCGATCCCCACTATACGACGAACGGGACAGGCGACCTGGCAACTACTTCCCGCACTGACGTTGCTCAGCGCGCTCCTGAGGATCCGGATTGCGTGGGATCTCACTGCAGCACAAATGCACTCGCCAATAGGATGCTCGCTACGCCCACCCACGAGGCCTTTGTACCCAAGACGGCTACATGCACTGGCGACGCCTGTAACGGGAAAGCTCCAAATTCCGGAATGCCCGCCGAACCGACGCGCACGAGTGCCGAGCCCACTCGTGTTTACGAGTCTCGAGGCCCTCGGCTCGCCCGGGGATGTCCCGCGCAACTCTTTCCTTCCTCGAATCATGCTGCATAAGATGCTCTCACCGATGGAATCAAGTTCATACTAGTGTAAGTTCCCCAATACCTTGCAATGGCGGATACCGGCTGATTGATGGTTTCAGGTCTACCAAAGTTGTCAAGAACGTCGCACATCGCAGATATCTGGCCAGAGTCTCTTCTATGTACATACTTCGCAGTCTCACAAGTCTAGTATCCTCAGAACATTTGAATCTATAGCCTAGGAACCACAACGGCACGAATCCTATTCCACTTCCTTCCTCAATCCCACTGCAGTCCTCTGTATCATGCAGAGATACAGTCTTCCGGCCGCCAATGCGTATAGTAGACTCATGTTAGAAAGCAGGTATATCTGTACAGTCAGAGTCATGCGGTGCGGGTCGGACCCGTACGCACAAACGTATTGTAGGAGCGAACGCGTTGTACTGAGACAGTGAAGGTTGGTGGACTCCGTCGGATGCTTTCTCCCACGGGGACTCCCTGGGGCTCTCTATAGCTATGTTCCGGAATCGAACTCGTGCGCGGACTATAGGGCGCTCCTACTAGGGCGCTCCTACGTGCAACATATGGCCGCCGTCGAGCACCCGATAGCATGGGGTCCATGTACAGACGAGGTGGTAAAGAAGTGCAAGTTGCATTAGGCCGAATATTGCGCCATCATCGAAGCCACGCGAACGGGTGATTTGGACCGAAAACTGATCTGGATCGGTCGCAGACGCTTGTGGCGCTCGTCGCAACTTGACCTCAGACCTCCACCTCGTCCTCGCTCAGGTCGCGTTGCGAGTATTGGGACACGGTCAGCAATGACATAGAGTGCTTTGGCCATATAAGACTAGTCATTGGATAGAGAGCCGTCATCTATATCCCGCCACCGCGGGCTGCCAACTCTCTGTGGTCGTTATCCCGACGCCCCTCGACGAGCCCTCAAAGCCCCGAGATCGTATACGAAGCTCCCCGCACGTGCACGGCCAATGAGCGATATACACATACTTTTCTCACTACTGCTTGCGGTGCTCGACATACCAGCGATAACTGTGAACGGTGCTCGTGTGCATGGAGGCGCCAGTAAGACAGTGAGGCGCGTTTCAATCTCAAGTGCCCCTCCCCTCGTACAGACAGTTGACGTCGCTATGCATCGCAGGATGCTCTCCAACACCTTTGGGAGACCTTCGACAACTAAGACCAAGGTCTACTGCGACATCCCGTCGCTACGCGTGCTTGGGCGCCACTTGAACCGTCGTTCGAGATCGATCAAGTGCCACGGCTTTTGACGGCCAACGACTTAGCGGCTTCGTACGAAGTACAAAACGAACATTCCCAAAGATCAGTAACCCTGCAGGCGGACTACTCGTTCTTTCGAATGAGGTATCTGACCGCAAGGTTTCGGGCACGTCTGCTTCCTTCGCCGTCGAGGAGGGCCACATACGTATTAGGAAGGAGACGTCAATCCATAACATGCTCGTTCGAATACCTCCTTCGACGCTCTGGACTCATAGCCCGCTTGGCGTTGAAGAGGAAGCAAACGCGGCCGATGGAGTTGCTACGAAGGACACTGCTTTCACGCCTGTTGTACGCGGATCCTGCACATGGGATCCTCGCCTGCCAAGAGCGGGGGCTCTCGAGATCCTTGCCAGCCGAGCATGGGTAGCCTGATGATGCGCCTTTCATGTTGACCCGGCGATGATAATGCCAGGAAGCATAATGAACACCGAATAAATGGAATTTGGACCTTACTCTGCTGCAGATGATATACACGACGGACGTAGCAGTCTTCTATGTTCAGCAGAAGCGTCAAGCCACCGCGTTCGATCGTTTCTGTCGCTTTACATCCGTCAGCAGTCCAGCCGCAACCATGTCTCACGTCTACATCTCCTCAAGTTCAACGAATCTCAATACAGGAAAGTAGCCGTTCTTGCATAGCCCCGCACGACTTGTACCCACGGCTTCTTGAGACCCTTGGACTAGTTCCCGAGCCCGGGTGCCGGTTCCCATGCGTGTCTGTGGATTCAGGCATCATCGTCCACGGCCCTAGCCTCGCGCATCCTGCTATAGGCTCTTCAAATCTCCACTCACAACGAGACGGGTCAGTAGCCCCGCAGCGCTTGCACTCCGAGTCGACATGCCCAATTCCGCGGAGCATGACGTCCGGCTTCGCCCGCTCGCCTCAGAGCTCAATCACCCATGTCGGGTACTCCCCAGCCGGACGAGAGCGACGGACCACGGTAAGTATCTTGCACAGCTCGAAGCTTGGATAGAGTCCGTCAAAGGCTATATCCGGCAATGCGTATACCGTGCGGGTAAACTCGGCGACGCGGAACCAAGTCCGAACGGCCCGTAGGCGGGCCGTGAACGGGCCTGTGGCACCTTCGATAGCGACCGCATCTCCCGCGACTTGTCGGGACTCCCAACGCGCTTGTCCCACTTCATGAGTATCGCGTTTGCCGGCGATGATCGCTGAACTTTCACTCGGGATGCAAATGCGCTCGCTGTGTCGTTGACCATGTGGTGACGGTGAATATCCGTCGACATCCGTCTCCGTCGCGCGGGGTATGTTTGGCACAGCTCAGTACCTCAAGCGGCGGGTGTACAATTTTCGTCTTTGCGTGGAATTGAACAAAGCACAATACACAGCGCATTCTCATCCGCCCGCCGGACACGAAGTTTTGCCACCGGTTTCAAGACACAGCTAGGAACACGCGGACAATGACTGCTCGGGCGGAGCGCATACCGGTCAAGGAGATCTTCTAGGCAGGAGTACCCTGTATCATGAGAAGTATAAAAGAATTGACCATTAAGCGTCTTCTTCATCCAGCTCACTCATTTCACTCTCTTTCTACAGTCTACTCTCACATAATCTAGTCCTATAATGCATTTCTCTCAGCTTTCTCTCTTCGTTGCTCTGGCGCTGAGCCTCTCCGTAACTGCTGCGCCAACTGTAGTGCATACGAGGTCTTCGTAAGTAGCGCTGTATCCATCCACTTGCGATGATCGACTGATTATCTACATCTAGTCAAGCCGACCCTGACTTCCTTGCACTCAACGCCCGTGCCTACAAGGGCATCGGTCATGTTCACCACGACGCAGGCCGTGTCTTCGATGCTCGCGACTCTCTCAGCTCCGATTGCGTTGGCTCTCACTGCACGACGATTGAGCCGCGCGACGTTCAGACTACTGCCACACGCCTCGTTTCAACACCCGAAGCAACGGTCACTCAGGCTCGTGCCGACAACATCCGACGTCAACTCCCCGATGACTGTGCGGGCTCACATTGCACCACCAATGTGCCTAGGGCCGTCGTCTCGCCTGAGGCAACAGCATGCGCCGGCATGCACTGCACTACGATTGCCACAGCCCCTCGCATGCTCGCCACTCCCATTGCCAGGGAGGACTATGGAGTTGACGATATGCGGCGTCTGCTTCAGGCATGCGCTGGACCTCACTGTAGCAGCGGCGCCCCGGTGCGGAGGGCGATTGCCACATCCAAGACTACAGGCGCTGCGAACACAGCCCACGCCTCCCCCGCGTACGTTTTGCTATTCCCTTCGTGCGATAATTGTCATTATGAGCTCAACGAGTTGATTGGTAGGCCAACCCCGGCTGACACCTCCCGCGCTCACTAGATGGTACTATAAGCACCGTGTACGATTTTCCATACGGATACTGCCGTCATCGTAGAGCTCAGTCATTTCCGGATTTGGTCCGGATGTCTGTCTTTCTGACTCGCGGTGATATGGACGCTGCTCATCTCTGCTCTCGTCACTCTCCGTTAGACTCGTTGTGATTACCCTCCTGGACATGCTCATATGATCTAGTATGACGTAATAGATAGCCATATAAATATACTCTCCGTATAATGTAGCTGCGAATATTTAATGCTATGCAAGCAATTCCGCGATGAAGAAGTGATTTCGACTGTGCAGTAGGATGCCATCTCCACATAGAAGCTCTGCACAGGTACTGATGCTTTAGATGGAGCATGGCGCACTCTGCTCCGTACGTTAGGCGCGTTTAGGCGCGAGCACTCTGGGGTAGTACTTTAAGTACCCGTAGTGGCGCTGCTGATCGGCTCATGCGGATCAAATACGACGTTGACCTCGTACCTCCACCTCCGACACCAATACTTGCGTCCTACATCAGTCCACTTACAGGCTCATTGAGCCGAGGCCACGCTCTATTATCCCAAGAGATGACTTCCCTGGATGAGCTGTGCAACCCAGTATATCCATGTCGCAAAAGTTGAATCGGGTGGCCAGCGCGTTCGCGTTCTCACCAAGTGGCAGAGCGTACACAGCACGGTCGAGATCAGTCACCAACTGGCGAGCATTGCGTCGCCAGCGCGTGGCCAGCACGTCGCCAGCGCGCCACCAGCCCAGACGAGGGCCCCAACCCATATTTATTAAATATTTCCGTCTATCATACGCAACATGAAAGCAGCCTAGAGCAGCCAGTCCCGTACCGGGCCCGAAACCTGCTCTCCTGTAGAGCGTACGTGGATTCAAATGTAGACCTTGCTCGCTGGCCAGAAGTGTTCACACGTCGTGGAGCTAGTCAGCCGCTGGCCACCCGCTGGCGACGCGCTGGCCAAGCGCTGGCCACCGAGCAACCACGAGCTGACCACGTGCTGGTGATGCTTGACCGGCGCAACTGTATCCGTGGCCATGAAGCGCCGCTGGCCAGCGCTGTTTACGTGCGACCATCGGTAACCAGCGGATTAGATTTTTTGCGACATAGCCTCCGTCGATCGCGACGCGCGTGGCTCTTCCCTCCAAGAACGTGGCCCTGGCACTGTCAATGTACTCTCGGCACGCGCTGACTTGTGAGTGAACGCGTATAAGCTGGAGATCCGGAGGCGGGCGTTCGTGCGGATCGTTGTAAAAGTTGCACTTCGTGACAGTTCGTGACTACGTCGCGACGCAGCTGAGAAAGCGGCAGTCGACGACGCACATCGCTGTGGCACATCACGCCGCGTATAGAGCAGAGCGGTCCAAAGATATGCATGTGTTGCCGGGAACGACGTATGGCATAGCCTACGGGTTGTAAGAGCTCATCGCGAACGTCATCCGCTTGCGGATCCTCCTCGCTCCTCAGCGGCCTCAGCAACAGTCCAGCACCCATCTCGACTTCCATGCGGTCTAGCATCGATTCTACTTCGTCGATGAGCGTCCCCTTCGTGCGCTTGGCGTATACTCGCCGCGCATTGACGCGTGAATGGACACGTATGAACTGGATCTCCAGAGTTGGGCGTTCTCTGCGACGCATCGTTCCCAGCAGTTCACACAGTCGTTGTACCCGCTGGCGACGACCTCGCTGAGTGAAGAAAAGTAACAAGATGCAGTTCCATGCAGGCTCAAGTAGTGGCTGATTCACTCTGCGACTTTGCGCGAAGCAGGACTACATCGTGGTTCGCGCTCAACTGACGCTGCGCGCGCCGCGGGTCCTGAGTTAGGGCCCGTTCGGCAACCGTTTGAACGGTCGATCACCGGATTATCGGCCGTGTGATCGCGTCTGAACGGCGCGTTTTCGTCGTTTGATCAGGCGTTCACATCGTTCACACGGCCGATAAACCGGTGATCGCCCGTTCAAACGGTTGCCGAACGGGCCCTTACCACATTCCCCTCAACTTCCCCTCATGTCTCAACACCCGCATCGCACAAACATAGAACCGCTTAAAACAATCACGATTCCTACCACAAACAACCAAGCAACATCACAATATCAAAAAACAGACGCCCAAAGGAGAGCCCGCCCGCGTCGGTAGAATCCCAAAAAGGGCCGACGCGCGCGCGCTCTCATCTGTGTGCCGAGTACAGTATGATACGATCTGGACGCCATCGCGCCAGCAGCAGCGTATCGGTAGATAGAGCCGGTGCGCTGCTACGGGCGTACGTCGGGGGGATTACATTCGCGTGAGAACACAAGACAGAGAGAGAGAGAGGAGGCTGGGGGATTATGACACAGTAAGAGGACAAAGGAGGAACATAGACCAAGAACCGACGCGCGACGCGCGACGTAAGACGTAACACTGAGTAGCGTTTGGAAATTGCACGAGATGAGAGAAAGGGTAGCGCTGTTAGGTATCGTATCGTAGACTGAGTGTTTCCGAGATGAGATAAGACGGGGCGATTATACGTATGAAGACCGGTGAGATGTGAAGGTGGCCAGTGGATGGGTTTACCACGGGTAGTACGCCACGGCCAGGCCGGCTGCTGCGGCTGCGAGCGCGCCCCAGGCTACCGAGCGGCGCTGGGGCGTCATCGTAACCGGTACACCGAGGACACTGCAAACACCATTAGCATCCGGATCCCCGTATAATTGGACGAATAAAACATACCGCCTGTTAGTGACCACCGCCCTCTCCGCAACCGGCACAATATCCATCGTATCCACAAACTCGAAACTCGGCGGTGCGTCTACTTCTTCGCGTTCGCGCTTCTTATCGTTCTCCATCCTCTCCGCCTCATGTTCAATCTGGCTATTCCACTCCCTCGCCGCCTCCCTCTGCTGCTTAAACGCCGCAACAAGCTCCTTCTGCTCCGCAATATCCCGCTCCATATCCGCCTCGGCGCCCTCGATAACCGGCTCGTCGTCGGCGACGGCCGTCGTCGCGTCGCTGCCCGCGGGCGTGGGCGCCTGCTCCGCGCCGGCCTTCTTCCGCGGCGAGCGGGGCGAGCGCGGGGACGCGACGACGGTGTGCGGGATGGGCGCGGGCGCGGGCGACGGCTGGCGCGCGGAGCGCCTCAGCGCGCGGCCGGCCGAGCTGGGCGGCTTGCCCGCGGGCGTCGCCGTGTTCGCATTCGCGGCACCACCCCTCTTTGCGGGCGTCTTCGCGGGCGTCGTCGTGGTCGTGGTGGCGGGCGACTCTGCGCGACGGCGCTTCGCCGCGCTGGGCCCGACGCTGGCGGCGGTTTCCTGGCTGGGCGCGGGCGTGGGCGTCTGCTGCTGCGCCTGGCGCGCGGGGCTCGACTGCTGCTCCTGCACGGTCCGCGCGCTCCTCCTATACTCCGTATTCGGCGCCGGCTCCGCAGCCAACAACGGCTCCAGAATCCGCTCCAGCCCATAACTGCCCGCCAGACTCTTCGCCAATTCACTCGGGATCCACGTGCCCGCGAAGCGCGCGCGCCCGGCCCTGTTCGCGCCGGAGATATCGTAGTTGGCCTTGACCCAGCCGGCCTCGTCCTTCTCCTGCGACTCGGGCGCGGAGGGGAAGGCGGCGCGGAACATGGTGGTGAGCGAGACGGCGCCGGTGTCGAGGCGGCGGAGGATGAAGGCGTGCCCGTTGGGCGTGGGCACTTTCATGCGCGCGACGACCGTCGACTGCCCGTCGCGCACGATCTCTTGGAACTTCACCGTGTACGTCTCGTTCGGCGCTGCAATTCCCAACCTCAGCCGTCAGCCACATCCGTTCCTTTCTATTCAACAAAGGATACGCACCGAGGTGGGGGTTGTAGAGCTGGTGCGGGAGCGTGGGCCGGTTCGTGCCGGCGAGGGGGACGGTGTAGGTAGTCATGGTGTAGATGGACGGGACGATCGTATCGTGGTCGCGGTCAGAACTCCCGTTGGGCCCCATCCGCCCGATGGTTGCACACGTGTACAATGCACGTGCCGGTACACGATCGGCCCGTTTCCGCCGACGCTGACTTGCTCTCCTTCCGCCATCCGCCGCGTTTGCCCTCCCACTCACAAGCGCTCTATAGCTCATACGTCTTCCAGCGACCAGAACGACCATGCCGTCTACTCGAACTTCATCTCGCACTCGAACCTGGCCTGGTTCAAATCGTTCAACTGTAAATCTCCAACACGTCTCACCCCATCGCACCCAACCGTCAAACCCACCTTAAAACCCCAAACACCCACTCGCCCAAACCCCCGGACACCTCCCCTCCCACCGGAACCCCGCGCGCGCTCACCGCGAGCCGCGGGGCCTCACGCAGGCTCGACGCGCCTTGGGTCGCGTCTCCGGCTGAATTCTGGTCCTCCCCCTTATTCTTAATCGGGTCGTTTTCGCCTCTCTCAGGTATGATTTTTCGTGTTCACTCGGACGCGTGGGACGTTCGATGTTGATGCGAAGTTTGGTACAGAGGGCGGGACGACCAATCGCAAATCAATTACCCCAGAACATGCTGTAGCGTTGCTCGACGCCTACAAGCTGTACCTCGATGTCCACTGGGCTTCTCGTCGTTGTCAACGCTCTCTCCTCGCCGGCGCTTGTGTACGTCTTTTCACGGCGCACCCCTCGCGATGATCCAAATGCTGATGCTCTCGCCTTCTTTCGCAGGAAAAAGCACTGTACGGTGCAGCCGACAAAGCCTCCCTCTTCTGCCGCGGCCCAAACCTTCGTCGTCGTCTAAGCGCCTGGTCTCGGCCACCGCTAACGCCTCACCTCACCGGATGTTCAAGCTCAAGCACCGTCGACTCGCTCTGCTTGCGACTCGCCCAACCACGTCATGGTTCGTCGTAGCGCCTGGTGCAGCCCACGAGCCCGGCCTTCTTGCGTACCATCCCGTCGCCGTGCGCCATCGTGGTCTCCAATCGGCGCTCCCACCCACGCGACGGCCGTCCCTCGAACCTCACCGTCGGCGAGTCGTCGAGCTCTGCCTGAGGCCATGTGCCATGTCTTGGAATGCCCTTGCGCATCGTCAACACCGAGTTCCCAAGCTTCCTTCAAGACCTCGCACATCGTACTGCGTTGGACTAGCACTTCGCACTGCTGCGGTGGTCCGCGCTCTACCACAGTTGCAGATCTCTGCCTGCTCATCGGGGCCGCTCTGTACGCTCCCATCATCCTCGATCAAGGCCGCGAACTACACCTTCAACGTCGTCCTGGCTCGTGTCAACATCCAGCTCTGCTTCGAGTTCCATTCGCACATGAGCGCCGTCCTTCGCGATCTCTCAACGCTCGGTCGCGGCCGTGTCCCGCGCCTTGCAACCGTCCTGGCCGGTCCCGCTGCGGACTGCTCCACACGCACTTGACCGCGGCGGCGAGCGTTCCTCAGCGTGTCGACGCCGCTCTCCGCGTCGGACGACTTCGTTCAACATATGATCATCCCAACGGCACCTCAGGTCCATCCCATGTGCTCAGTCAAGGCGATGAAGGTCTTCTCACACACCAGCGCCACCATTCCCGTCTCTCCGACGCTTGACCGTAACGCGCGCCGCGTTCTGCACATCGCCAACCCCATCCAATCCGGTCTCAACGGCTCTCGGTCGGCGACCCTCCTCAGCACTCGCCCATGGCAGCGATTGATCCCCTGCACATCGTCAGCGGCAAGTTCTCAAGGTCGCCCGCCGCGCCTCGCACGTCGCCCCGCTCTTCACCAACACATGGCCGCTTCCTGCACACCGCCAACGCCACCCGACCCGGTCTCACGGTGCTACCCGTCGGTTGGCATCCCTCTTCAGCACATGCTCGCGGCGGTGATGGCCCCCTGCACTGCGTCAGCGGCAAGTTCCCGAGCTTCGGTTAAGGCCGCGCCGCGCGTCTCGCGCATCGCACCACTCTGGACCAACACCCGGCGGCGCTGCCCTTTCTTGCGTCGGACCAAGGTCGCGGACGTCTGCTTGCACATCGGCGCCGTCCTCGAAGTTCTTTACCCGCTCGTTAAGGTCCCGAAGCGTGTCTTGCACGCCGTCACAGTTCGTATCGACATCCAGCGCTGCTCCAAAATTGTCCTCAGCACCTGAACAAGGCGGCAAGCGTAGACCCTACGACATCGGCGTCATTCTCTACGCTCATCCGACGCTCGGCCGCGTGCTCGACCATCGCCCCCGCCGCGTCCTGAACATCGCCAACCTCATCGGATATCCGACCCGGTCTCGCCCGCCGGTCAACAACTCTCCAGCGAGCTTCGGTCAAGGCCGCGCGCCACGGCTCGCGCATCGCACCGCTCTGCAACAAGACCTGGGGGCGCAGCCGTTTGTTGCGTCGGGCCAAGGTCGCGGACGAGTGCTTGCACATCCGCGCCGTCTTCAACGTTCTCCCGACCGTTGGTCAAGGCCTCGAAGCGCGCCTCGGACGTCGTCCCGGTCGGTATCAACACCCACCGCTGCCGCGGAGTCCTCACGCGTTTGGACAAGGCAACGAGCATAGCTCCTTGAACATTGGCGCCATGCTCCACACACCCTCGACGCTCAGTTGTGGCCGCGTGATGCCTTTTGCGCGTCGTCTCGACCCGCCGCGATGATGTAATGCAGCCTCTCTGCGGGTGCCCTCATATTCACTCGTTGACATTCTTCGCGTCTTCACGCCTCGTTCAACATGCGACCGATGCCGCGGACTAGTCTTTCACGCCTTCTCGACCCCAATGAACTTCGGCGGTGCTGCGTTCACACGTGCTCGATCGAGGTGGCGGGGGTTTTCTCACACCTTGCCGCTGTATCAAGTCTGGTCCTGCCGCGCTGACCGTCTGCCGGCGACTTACCTTTGCACTCGATCAATGTTGTGCTACGGCTCGCACTCTGTCGCGACACCTCCCGACACTTCAAGCACGCTGCACGCCGATGCCGTCTACGCCTGGGCATGGTGTCCTCCCGAGTTTCCATTGTCGGCTGATGCCGGCATGCCTACCGTCGATCGTCAAACTGACTGCGCCGATGCCCAAACGCCTCTTCATCCCGTACGCTGCTGCCAGCTCTCACCTATCAACGCCTGTCAAGTACGACATAGCGCTCACCGTGTACGTCGAGGAACGCGCCGCGAATACCCTCACTCAGGCCATCACCATACAAGGACACTTGGCACGCGTGCGGTCGGTTGCTGTCGACGGTGGGCCTCGGCCTACAATACTCACGCCGCTTAGATCGCGGGCATCGCCTCTGAACTCGTGCCCACGCCGTGCCCGCCTTCGGCGCCGCTGTCGCCGTTCTACAGACCACCGACGACACGATCTCACCATCCACCGGCGGTCCTCATGGTCGATATGCGATGCCCCGTCGACATGCTCGCTGGGCATGCTCTATGCTCACCGTAGTCGTATCCGACTACCCTCCTGCCACGGGGCTCATCTCTTTGGGCATGCCTCGGTCATCGTCGTCGGACCATGCCGTCTCACCGCCGTGCACGTCGCTCAGCTCTCATGACCTCTTCTTCGCGACTGCTACTTGCTCATCGTCGTTACGTTCGCCCCGACTTTCCAATACGTACCTCACCTCTCGTCGTCGTCATTGTCGTGCATATCCACTCCGGGCGCTGTTGTACTACCACGTCGCACTCTGTCGCATTCGTCGTCGAGCATATCTACTGTACACGAGGGGGCCAGGTCTCGGGTGTTATGAACTCGGGTCCGATGTAGCACTTCGTCCAGTCCTCGCCGTGTGGGGCCCCGTTCCAGTCGATGGTCAACCGCTTCTCCGCGATGCGAGAGATACAGGGTGGGTGCTCGACGAAGGAGTGGTACTGCACAGGAATGTAAAGAAGCACTTCTTTATTTGGGCCACGTAGACAAATCGCGCCTTCGTCATCATCCCATGCATCCGGAAGACGAAAATGGCAAAAGCCATCGTGAGAAACTGTATGCCATTGTTAGTACAAATGACATGATCATACAGGGCAGGAAGGACATACCAGTTTGACACAGCTGAGGACTTGATGTGGTTGTCCAGATACAGATAGTCTTGTCCACTGAAAGAGATATAAGTCGACTCTCATCTGGGGTAAATGTAAGGCATGTAATTCTGTCTGCGTGTCCAGTCAAGTATGTTGGTGCTCGATTATGGAAGTTATTCTCCATGTTGTAGAGTATTATCTTGTGCCATTCACAAACAGCAGTCAGACGATTTGATAGTGCTACCCTTGTGTGTACATATGGAAGTATGAGCCCATCTTCTTCCTTCCAGGGTAGATCTTTGATGGCTTCTGTTTGTAACAGGGTCACATCTGACTTCATGTCCCAAAAATACATAGCACAATCTGTGTGAATAATCAACCAATCATTTTGTGGGGAAAAGATCATACTAATGACAGTATCAGGAGCCTTCGAATATGCTTCTTGGGTAAAATGGGATCCATTGTATCCCCAGATCTCAATGCCCATAGACTGTAAGTATACTGCCGCATGAGTTCCATCTGGTGATAGATATATCTGCACAGGCTTTGGAGACATATTGAGAAATGTCTGTGATTCCCATGTTTGTTGTGGTCGGTTCCAGTTATATATGACTACTCCTATATCAGATCTTGTTTCTGCTAGATTTCCATTATGGAGGAAGGTGAGTGAGGTAGGCTGTGAATCTTTGATGCCAGTTTTTGGTGCCCTCATGAAGCTGACTAGACAGCCTGACTCGGTATGCCATATGCTTATATCACCATCAGTAGAAATAGAAGCAAGATACATATCACAATGTGATAATGCAATTTTCACAACAGTATCAGAAGGCCCTGTGAATGATCTCACATAATTATTTGTGTCTGGTTGCCACATGAGGATAGTTGATAAAAATTCTTTTCTAGTATCTGGTTTATATTTATCAAGTTTGGATGAAAGCAGGGCAGTATAAACATGTTTGCCTGAGTGAGAAAAAAGCATACTTTCATCTGAGTCTACATAACTATGTTTGTTATATTGATCATTATCCACAAGATTGCATAGAGCAGTTTTGAACATCATATTTGTGCAATATTTTGCCAGCATTGAGGAGGGCAAAAGAAAGGGGATGTTTGAGAGATATACATGAGGTGCACTGATAAGATGACGATGGTATACCCATTGATGTAACTCAGAAACCTCTAAAAGAAGCTGTCTTAAATCAGAAGATAAAAGTGGCGAGAATATGGCAATCAAATCCAAAATTTCACTATTGTCTGGCATTCTGTTATCATATGTGCTATACACCTCTAGCCAGAAGAAAACCTTATAGGAAAGAAGGAACTGCAGACCCAATAAAGCACTTCTTATATCAGCTGCCAGTGAGCCATATGTCAAGTCATATCCTTTGAGATATTTAAGGTGACCAGGCCAATTAAAACATGCATACTGAATAAATCTGGGCAGATCTGTACAATTCTCCTTATAACTGGGAAGATAAGAAGTCTTAACTTGAAACATATTAAAGTGCAAAGCAGAAGAGTTCATCACTGTAATACACCTTTGGGCTATATAGCAGTGGCTATATTCAGATGAAAGCATTATTTCATCACCTGCACGGTCTGAGCTTCGAAGAAAATCTCCGAAAGATGCATGAAGAGTCGATAGTACTCCACCATCTGCTGTTTGTGGAATGAAAAGCACTGCATGTAACTGGCGAAGTGCTGCTTTAAGCTGGTAAACTTGAATGCTGAGTAGCTGACACATTTCTGCAATAGTAAAAGGATCATTAACTGTGAGAATTGCAGCTAGAATCTGCCGGGTCAATATCAGTTCGCTCTCAGAACCCTGGATAGATTTCATGATGAAGACATATATCCGATCCAGGTCATCAAGTGGATTAACCACACTTCTGGGATTGTGCTCAAGTTTGAGAACACTCTGGAGACGATCAACTGGATTCCCCCCACGTCCACGTATGTATTCAGTCGTAGTAAAGGCATGAATGAACAAAACTCCAGCAAGAGCAGCAAGCGAGCTGACATCATCTGGTGATGGCCAATCCAGGGGCAAATCAAGGTGATCGAACTCTGCGATGACATTCTGCATTCGATGAGCAACATAACATTGAATATCAGCCTCGACAATGTCCTTCTCGATGTCATGCAGTTGTAAACATTTCTCAACAGTTCTTAGACCTTGTTGGATATGCTCCTCGGGTCGGGAAGTCAGGAAAAATCTGACCGGAATATCGGCAGACCGATCGATGAGTGCTTTCAAAAGTTCCTCAACCGTCATATCGCTCGTTTCATCCAAAGCATCAATAATCAAGATATAGCTCGGCATGTGCGGTGCATAACCTGAAGCAAATGGCTCGCAGAAGAGCCTCACAACCTGCTCACGAAGACCCCACGTGCTCGGACGAGATTCAGCTGAGTACTTCTCAAGGACAGGCATAAGAGCAAGCTTATAGCCAGAATCGAGAGCAGCCAATGTAGCAGCAAGCGTGGGGACGATCCGCTTGGAATCCTTCAATTCGGCATCACTTTCACGAGAACAGAAGAAACTGCCACCGAGAAGGCGATGATCTCGCAGATGTTCGCCAAATGAGCGCGCGATCGCAGACTTCCCGGTCCCTGCCATGCCATTCAACCAGTAGGTGCGTGGCCCATCAGGGTTGCGACTCCATGCCGAAAGATCGGCGAGAAGCTTGATACGGGTTCCAGGAAGGCAAGCAGATCGTGTCTGGGCAGCAAGATCGGCCTTATCCAGGCGATCTAATCTGTCGAGGGCAGCTAGAACAGTGCAGCCTATTAGCATCTTGACATCAGCGACAATGATCATGGAGCCTACCATTAGCAGCAGCGTGGGCCTGTGTATGTCTGATCTGTCCGAGCTTTGGGTACGTCAGATAAGATGCCGGTCTGGGTTGTAGATCCAACGTACCTCTTGCTGTTCGCGAGTACGTGCTGCTTCCGCTCGAGAACGTTCCTCCGTCGCTTGAGCGCGTTCTTCTGCTGCCAACGCACGCTCCGTTGATGCCTCGGTATGCTCATCTGATCACGATTGTCAGCTTGGGGACAGTTCAGATGCTGACAGCCTCCGACCTTGTAGACGTGTAGCGAGATCGGTGAAGTGGTTTGAATACGCTGCGGTCAACGGTGAGTAGATACAGACAGGAAGAGTAGCAAACGGATATGCGTACCTATGTCCATCGCAGCAAGATCGCCCATCAACGCCTTCGTAATCTTCAAACTCTCCGCGGCCTCGACACGTAGTTCTGAGGTTATGGCACGTATCTCGAGATTCGTAAGGCGGCGCAACCGCCGAAGAGCATCCTGCATGTCCGTGTTCCCCGCCAGACTCTGCCCAAAGTGAACTACATAATGACGTCAGTCTCTTTCTCTCAACACGTAGACAAGTAGACAAGCAGAGCTAACCTATGCGCTGCAGGTGGTCGACTTTGGAGCTGGGTTTCATTAACGTGAAGGCGAGTGCCATGACTTCGAGAAGGTGAGCAAGAATCGCCGCGGCGATGTTCTTGGAGGCGGGGCCCCAACTCTGCGGATTCGACTCGCGCACGCGCACGCTATCGAGGAAGAAGGGTATCTCCTCGAACAGGTCTATGAGAGCGTCATAGCGCTTCGACATCCCATCCGTCGCCTGTGATGGATGGTAGTTCAGTTCAAGAGAGGGAACTCTAAGTCGGACCAACAACGTACGAGGAGAAGTGCACCGAAAGCCACGAAAATGGCCTTGCCGCCTGGGACAACAGGCTATGCATGGATGAGCGTGTGCATCCGGACATGCCTGGAGGTAACACGTACGAAGTACGCTGCCGTTTCGGCGAAAGCGTCATTCAAGCAGAGGACGACCTTGACGGCCGGCTTAAGATAGTCGTTTCGGAGTTTGATCCACTTCGAGTTGGGATCGCCGACGCGGAAGGTCTTGAATTCCTGCATCTTCGTATCGAAGAGATGCATAATCTCGTCGACCGTGCTGCAATTCGCTAGATTCTTGGTGAGAGCATGCGTTCGCGGGTCGATCCCAGTCTTGTCATGGTATTTATGGAAGGCTTGAGACCAAAGAGAAGAGAGGTCGCTCGCTGTGGCGGGCGTCTCGGACACCGTAGCGGTGCCGGGCGACGGTCCGGACGAGTCGGCAATATGTATATTCGAGGCAGAAGAAGAGGTCATCGTCATGATACGGTCGAGTTTGCGCGAGTCGGGATGGTACAGTGGAGGTTGCGAAACAACAGCCAAGGACGACGCGCCGCGCGTGTTGCGCGCGCCCACATATTCCCACATTCAGAAGCGCGCGCTAACCACTACTCGCTGTCTACTTTGTAGACTACCGGCTTTCGAGGGTCATTCATAGGCATCTTCGTTCATATCCGTCGTGCAGTAACTAGTTGGTGCTCTCACATGCAGCGACCGCGTGATGTGGGCCGCAGAATCTTGCGACTTCAAACGCGTCAAGGCTGTTTTAATACACTGTATACCGCCGAACGGTGCCCGTTCAGCCGGCCTGGTCGAGAACCAACACATGATCGGTCCATGTTCCATAGTAGCTGAATGCAAGCAGAACATCGTCTTTGGACAGAATCCCATGCTTATTCCCGGGGATACCAGATCGCTAACACGGTGAGCGAAGGGGAAGCCGCGATCTGCGAAACAAGCGATGAGCGAACGGCTACGGACCCAGTCTCACATCGATGCGAGGGAGTGGTATGCCTGACTGCATCAGATGTAGGTTAAGGGTGCTCCCGTGTAGGATAGGCTGGCATGCCACAACCTTTCTTCGTTGACTGGAGACGACTGAAGTGTCCCGATTGCCCTGGAGCGTCAGTCCACCCATTGCCCGAAACGCGTCCAGGATTTGATACGCTCTTGACTGACGAGGTATTCAGCGAGAGATGGCTTGTCTTCCAAAACCCTTATGACTGAGAAGCGCACCACGAGCGGTAGGGCCTGAACGTGAACTCGGCCGCGCGATTCTGTCGCGGGTCGCGGGATATAACGCGGATCTGCACGCAAGTGACCGCTCTGGGATTATATGCGCATGACAACCTTCATACAGCGTCAGGACGACGCAGACGCGTTCCTGTGCGTGCGCCGGGTAGACCTTCGAGCAGGGCATGGACTGTTGAATCCGTACGGGCGCACTGGCAGCAATTCGATGCGCCACAAGGGCAACGTCACAGAGTCCACAGTTCATAGCAATGCATCTATTCAGGTAGCGCCAGTGCGCCGCACTGGGTGCGAGCAGACAGTAGGCAGATGGGCCAAGACGCGATGGTCGTGGTTCAAGTGCAACTCGCATCCCGCGGCGCGCTGTGCGCACTTGTACTCCGACCATCACCATCGCCTAGCTATGGCGTCACTTGCTCTACCTGAGGCTCCCGCTTTGCGCGATGCTCTACTACAGGATATGCAAGACGCCGGTCGCGAACTCTGTGGTTATTCATCTGCTAGACTCCCCTCTACCTGAACGGCCATAGCCTTCTACGGTATGTGTGGCACCCGACTGGTGGGTTTCGACGCTGACAGTGAATATACTCCACAGAAGACGATGACCATCTTTCGGACGGATCAACGCCGACTTGCTTCCTGCGGCCGGCCCCTACGTCGCGCTTGAGTTCGTTTCGACTCTAGTGAATACGGATATCTCGAACCGGAAGAGATTACAACTTGGGAGCGGAGGGGGGAACCCGATGAAGTCTTCTCAATGTGCGTGCGTTCACTCCAACCTGTCTCAATGATGGGCAGCTTTGATGCGTACTTCTGGTTTTAGTTGCATACGGCCATTGCTACCGGACGACGCTTGCTTGTCTCTGCTCCGGTCGGCGATTCGAAGCACGTCGCCTCCCTCAAACGCCAATACGCCGCTCGATGATCTGTCACTACCACCTGGCTGCCCGAATATGTGGCTCAGGGAACCCTGTAGCGCATGTCTAGCTCGACGCGTGGTACTGCCGAGGGTTCCGTTGGCTTCTTCATATGACCCTGGTGCTTGTTTGCCGATGGTACGCATCGTCTTGTCCTCCGCTACGTCTGTCGAACTCATAGCCATTTACCCGTTGCAACCTTTCTCCATGAAGTTGCCTCATGCGGCCTCGTCAAGATGGTGTAACCGGCCGCGCTTCTGGCTCTAACTCGAGCTATCGACCATCGATCGGGCGAGGCTGCGCTCCATGGTCTCACATCAGCCCGACATATATGTATTCCTCTCCTCGATACTATCTGCCGCAAGAGTGGGCCTTCTCGGCCAGTCTATGCATCTGTTTTGCTCGCTCTCGTGCAGTATTGACGGGCCATTCCCTTGTCTGTACCGCCAGACGTCTCAAGCACAGTGCGCGGGACCTCAAGATCTCACCCGAGCTCGGCTTCTCATTGGAGTTGATTGGTAACCATTGCACGAGGCGCACAGCGGGAGTTGTGTACTGCACTCACAAAAAACTCACCCAATCCAAGTCCTAGGTCGATTCTTGCGTGTAAAAGCATCACACAAGCGGTCGTGCAGATGGACAGGCTTCGTGCTGTTAGATGATCATGTCCAAGTACTTTACTCATACAAGTAGGGTGATTCCGTAGACGTGACCGGTGGTTCCAAATACCTCGAGGCGGGTGCCATGAGTAATGAACAAGATGGCCACGTACGATACTGCCCATTCAGTCGTATTAGTACAAGCGTGAGAGAACGCAGGAGAACGCACGCGTACGATGTTGATTAGCTTCGTTGTTATGTAGAGACGCTCTTCATCCGCGTCGACCTGTGGGATGTTCAACTTCGAACCTGGGTATAAGGGGCACAGTACCTGAGTACGGCCTTGTGAAGCACAACCATGGCCTACCAGGTCGTGCTAAGCAGCGTTGAAAGCGCGTTGGAAGTCGGGAAACGCGTGCCGCACGACTCTCCCTCTGACGTCCATCATGCACGCAAATGTCATTTCTAACCCCCGCCTTTGCCAATCCTCTCGGCCGTCGCAGCGGCTTCATACTAAACGGTCGTGCGTCTCCGCCGGACCTGACGCGCAATTCGCCGCGGTCGTTGGCCGATAGCATCAAGCAGCACGGGGGATCAATAACCCCGTACAAGATCACCCATGCAGTCTCTGTATTCGCACTCTTCGTGACACACCTGGCTAGCTCCATTGAGCTCAGCAGGCCCAACTCGAGCGAGCGGGGACGCGTGTATAGAAGCAAGTGGTCAACGTGGTTTGGTGCATCACCTACGTGCGCATAATCCGTCGCCTTTCGCTGGTCGGCATACTGACATGTTAGTCAGAGCTACATCCTCATTCTATCTCCGTGCACTCGTACTTCTCTGCGACTTCGCCGTGTGCGCTTTCCGGGACCTACAACCTCTCACGACAAGTCTGACGGATGCTCAAACTTGATTCGGGCCAAACCGTTCAAACGCCTCGAATACGTCTCGTCCACCCGTCAGACCCACCAAGGGCTCGCACACTTCCCCTCCCACTGGAACCTCCGCGCGCGCTCAAAGTGAGCCGCGGGGCCACACGCCGGCTCGACGCGCATGGGTCGCGTCTCCGGCTTCCGGTCCTCTTTTGTATTCTTGATCGTTCGTTTTCGCTCTCTCAGGTAGGATTTGTTCACGTTGTACTGCGCGTGGGACATCGATGTTGACGCGAAGTTTGTTGTAGAGGACGGGACGACAATTGCAAGTCAATTACCCCAGAACATGCGCCGTATGCGCTGCAAGGCGCTCGACGCCTACTGGTGCCTCGACGCCTACTAGGCCTCTCGATGTTCAACCTCTCCTCGCCGGCGCTTAAGTACGTTTTGTCCTTGCTCATGGTTACGATTGCGGCGCTAACGCTTTTTCGCAGAACTAATCTTCGTGCTATTAGTATAAGGCCCATCAACCTCTTTCCCTTTTGCGCGCAGCCCGCCGACGCCGCGTATACCTTCGCCGTCGTCCAAGCGCTCAGTCCAGGCCACCCATCACATCTCACCTCACCGGATGTTCAAGCACCATCAACTTGCTCTGCTTGCGACACGCTGTACTACGCCATGGACCGCCGTATCGCTTGATGTGGCCCGCGGGCCCGGCGATCTCGCATAGTATCCCGTCGCCGTTCGCCATCACGGTCTTCGTTTGGCGCTCTCGATCCCTCCGACGACCGTTCCCTTGCACATTATCGTCAGCGGGTTCCCAGACTTCGCTCACGGCCATATACCACGTTGAATATCGACTCAGCTCGTGCGAAGCCCAGTGCCGTTATGCATTACACCTAGCCACTCGGTCAAGACCACGGACTCGTCCCATTGGACATCAACGCTGTATTCTACGCTTGCGCAACGGTCAATGAAGGCGCCATGGAATGCTTCTCGCACGCCGGTGACGTTCTGGGTTCATGTGATACCACATACAACGCCAGATCAAGGGACGAAGCCGCTGTTTATCTCGCTTCGGCGCTCGAGCATCGCCGCTCGCCGCCACCTGCACTTGGACAACGCCCACTTCTTCCTGGCCCACCACGCTGGACGCCGATTAGCGAATCCCTCCAGCTTCACCACCTGATCAAGACAGCGATCGTCCATGACGACTTCGCGCTCGCGGCCAGTGCCGCGACCAGTGCCAGCGCACACATATCCTGTCTCCCACGCGCTTTTCTGCTCCCGGCCAACGTGGGCCCGGCGCCTTCTTCGTCACCTGGGAGTCCTTCCAGTATAGGCCGATCGGCACCCCGGATTACACTACGCATCATCGCGACCTCGGCTATCCTTCGCACTCACCACCATGCCCGCCACGGTCGCCACAGGGCTATGTCCGGCTCACATCGCATGCACCACCTCATCTCTTCGTCGCGACTCAGTGCGGCTCTCGGACATACCCACTCTTGACTTCTGACCTGCTGTCGTCATGTTGCCCATCGTAGTCATCTTGGCCTCGCAGAACGTACGATACGCACCTGATTTCTTATCGTCGTCGTCGTCGTCGTCACGCATCATCCCACCATCAATGTCATACATCTCGTCGCTACCCACATGCACTGTTTAACATATATAGTGTACGCTGGGTTCAAGGCATGGGGCCGGATGTTATGTACTTCGGTCCGATGTAGCACTTGGTCCACTCTTCCCCGTGAACGGCCCCCTCCCAATCGACAGTCACTCGGTACTCGGCAATACGCGTTCGACACGGTAGATGTTGGACGTATGGAGCGTATGGCTGGGGGATCTGCAGGAGCAGTTCGCCGTGCGGTCCGTGTAGCCATGCCGAGCCTACGTCGTCTCCTGAATAAGGGAGGTAGAAGTGCTCGAAGCCTTTGGACATCACTACATGAAGCAGTCAGTATGGCATCACCGCTCTCGGGATCGGTACACACCTGCTCGGCAGTTCTGGACTCTGCTGTGCACATCCCAGACACAGATCGTATCGTCGGTCGATCTGGAGACAAGACGGGCCCCGTCGAGGGAGAATAGCATGTACTCGACGGGACTGTGATGTCCGGTGAACAAAATCTCCTCGCGTGCGTCGGGAGAGTCGATAACTCGCAGGGAAATACCTGTCGTGCCTGCTACTGCTAAATGGGTATCGGAGATCGTCGCGCAGGCAATGTCGCCCGATAGAGTGCACGAGTGGAGTAGGCTGCCCGCCAGCCAGTCCCACGTCTGTGCTACACTCTCTGACCCCACCATCAGATACCTAGAGCTGGGTGAGAACTCAAGATACTCTGCGCTCCCGATGCCTTCTACCGTAGTCTTCGGAAGGAATTCGTCCTCGGACGGATCATAGTCCCAGATGTTTATCTCTCCAGAGATAAGACCAAATGCGACAAGACAGCCATCGGGGGATACGCAAAGTGCACAGCAGTTTCTGATGTCGTCCTGGACACTGTCGTAACTGGACTCGAAAAGCGAGTCCCTGACCCGCTTGACGCCTTCGTATCCGTAAAGTGATAGCACGAATCTCCGCATTGGTGGGTAAATGATTGCATCGTGCATAGATGTAGAGCTGGTCATCAGACCAGTGGATATCGCCCAGATGCAGATTTTCCCATCAGTGCATGCGGCCATAATGTATTGGCTATCCTTTGTATATGTAAGCCTCAGTACAGCGCATGAATGCCCTGTGAAGGACCTGATCAATGAACCAGTATCTACTTGCCACATATAGATGACATGCCTCTCACTCGAGCTTGAGATGATCTGAGCCCCATCAGGCGAAAACCCGATAGGCAGATAGGTCACAGGTGATGTTGTCCTAGGCAAATGAACCATATCTCCAGATCTAGCATCCTCCTGACGATCGAGCCTTGCATACTCAAACCGCAGAGAAGGCAAGTACGAGAAGAGTGCTCCACTCCTGGACCTGAGAAGTGACTCGGAGGATGGTAGCAAACGCGGAATCAGAGATAGGTATACATGTGGTGCCGAGGTGTCAAGCAAATCTGTAGCCTGATCAATGATGAGCATGATCTCTTCCACGAGCTGAATCAGATGGGGTGGTGCCTGTAGCGACTGCAACAGGGACCGGAACTTCGCCATCTCTGAAGTAAACCATGAGCTCATGCGGCAAATACTGAAGACTTCCAACCAGAAGAAACCCTTGTAAGATAAGATATATTCCAAACTGGACAGAATGGGCATCCACGTATGATTCGACATGGGGTTACTCCCAATAGTGGTCTGTGTCAGTTGTCGCAGTAGAAGTATATGATGGAGCCAATAAACGCATGCATAGGCAATATATTCGGGAATTATAGCGATTTCTTGGTCTGCATTGGACAGATAGGAGGACTGAGCTCGTGCCATGTTAAAGTGCAGATCGGGAGAGTTCATGATGTTGATACATTGCCTCAGAAGATCATAGTGACCATACTGGGGAAGAATCCGCATATTCGGTGGTGCTCGGTGCGGACTGATCAAGAAATCCGAAAATGATGCATGAAATGTCGAGAGAGTTCCCTTGTCGGTCGCTTCCGGGACGTAAATCACAGCATGTAGATGACGAAGGGCAATTCTCAGCTCGTAAACCTCAATCTGCAGTAGATGGCTCATAGCTCCTATAGTCAAAGAATGATGCATGGTCAAGATTGCAGTCAAAATGCGCCAAGTCAATCGTATCTCAGATGCATCGCCCCTAACAGCTGATAAGATGAATTGATAGATTCGGTCAAGATCGTTCAGAGGATTCGTCCATCGAGAGGTGTTATTCCCAATATCAAGCACATCCTGCATGCGCTTGACAGGATTGCCACCACCGATGTATTGAGTGGTCGTGAAAGCATGGATGAATAAAACACCCGCAAGATCTGCGAGTGCACGAACATCGCCGTCAGATGGCCATGCCGCAGGCAATCCCATCGAAGTGAATCTTCGAGATATCTCAGCGACTCGAGACTGGACATACTGATATATGTCATTTGCGACGATCTCTTTCTCGATATCATGGAGCCTCAAGACGGAGTCCAAATCAAGAATGTCTAAGCTTTGACGTATGTGCTCTTCGGGCCGTGAGATCAACAGAAACTTGAGAGGCAGCTTCTTCGATCCAGATAAGAGGGAGTTCAGCAACCCCATGATATTGTGGCTATCGGTCTCATCGAGAGCATCAACAAGTAGCACATAGTGGGGCGAAACTTCGTCCACGAAACATGCAAATGGTTCAATCAATAAGTATTGAACTTGTTTATCGAGCGTCCAAACGAGAGGCGATGGCTTATGAGACTGCCTTTCAAGGGACGACAACAGTGCCTCCCTATAAAGTCTATGATGTCCGGCCAGGCTAGCGGCCAAGGTGGGTATGATTCGCTTGATATCTGTCAGCTCGGCGGTACTCTCACGTGAGCAGAAGAAACTGCCCCCGAGAAGTCGTTCGTCCTGGAGCTGCCACCCGAAAGAACAAGCGATAGCAGTCTTTCCAGTCCCTGCCATACCATTCAACCAATAGATCCGGGGCGCGTTAGGATCATGGCTCCACGCCGATAGAGTAGCAAGCACGCCAACTCGAGTACCTGAAAGGCAGCCGGTTCGGTCTTGTGCGGCGAGATCGGCAAGATCTAGTCGTTCCAACCTCCCAAGTCGTGCTAGGTCAAGCTAGTGAGATATATTGACGAAGACCAATCTGGGGGCATCGTACCGTTGGCTGCCGACTCGGCCAGGGATTGTCGAATTTGTCCGAGCTATACAACGTCAGTATCCATGTTGAACGAGTGTGTCATATAGGCGTACCTCTTGTTCGGATCGAACCCGAGCCGCATGAGCCTGACTATATGCTTCTGTGGCTTCATGTTGCGAACCTTGGTGCGACGTGAGACCAGGCAGATCTACCAACTGACAATACACACTTTCCGCTTTCTTGATGAATTCCCGAAAGAGCATATTATGTTCTGGTGGGTTTGAGACAAGGGACCCCCGGTACAAGATATATCGCACGTACCCTGGCTAGTTGACACTAATCTCTCAGTCTCAGCCAGGATCGTCGCCGCAACGACGCGTGTTTCTGAAGCAATAGCGCGTGTCTCGAGACGAGTGAGCTCTTTGAGGCGCGACAAAGCGCTTTCCATGTCGGTGGTCCCAATCAAACTCTTGCTGTAATCCTCTGTCATTGATATGAGTGAATTGCACAGCCAACAGGACAGGTCACGTACTCAGGCGCCGCCATTTGTCATTCATTCTACGAACTGCAAGAGCGAAGACGTCGAGAAGATGTACAAGTATCGCCACGGCAACACCACGAGTCGGCGCACCCCAGCTTCGAGCCGTTGAGTTGCGCTCAATTGCGCTCTCGAGAAAGAAGGGTATCTGTTCGAACAGTTCCTGCAGTGCATCATAGCGCTTAGAAACTCCTTCCGTCGCCTTTTGCACGATCGTGTCAGAGACATCGGTGTCCGAAGTAACGCAGTTTGCGGACGCACCTTAAGAAGGGTCCCGAACGCCACGAAGATGGCTTTCCCGCCGGGTACGACCGACTGTCATATTGGTGAGCGTGAGCATGATAGCGATGATCAATGGGCGCACAAAGTACGAGGCGAGCTCCGAGAGCGCATCGGTAAGTAATATGACGCTATGGACGGCGGGCTTCAAGTAGGTATTCCGGAAGCTGCACCACTTCGAGTCGTTTGCGCGGAACTCCCGGAAAAGACGCATCTTCGCGTCGAAAAGGTTCATGATCTCGTCAGTCGAGTTCAGTCCCGCCAGCTCAGAGATGAGGGGATCTTTCATCGGGTCAACTCCAGTCTTGACCTGGTAATCACGAAGAGCCTGCAGCCAGAGAGAGCCGAGAACATTGTGCATCTCCGGCGCTGGGCCCCGGTCCGTCGAGTGAGTCGTAATGGACGGCATTGCGTCGTTCCAGCTGATATTAGGGCTTGATGTCGTATTCATGATAGATGTTGATGTTGTGAGTTCAAGCGTTTGTAGAGGGATGGTGGTGGATCGTGTCAGATACGGATACCGTGAGGCAAGCTTGGACGGCCCGCATATTCCCACACTGCCACTGGGCAACTGACCGCCGGGTGACTCTAGTCGATCCAATTCAACCGCACCGTTCATCGTCTAGCGAGGTCTACCATTACGAACTGTCGATACCGACGCGCGGCGCAATGATAGACAGTGCGGTATCATGTTGCATCGCATCAGCCTGCGCTGTCTCGCAGGGAAGGTTGGGCGTGCGGTTAGCACTTGCACCTCGACCACCATCGTCTCCTACTGTCACACAGTCGCTGCGGCTCTCGTTCAACTACTGTATACCGCACCCACCCGCGAAGCATACAAGACGACTCCTGTGGGCGGCTAATAGGATCAATGCTGACGGGGCTCGCACGCGAACAGCAGTCTAAGTATGTTCGTGCTCTAAAGGCTATACGGAAGTCCGTTCTATAGTTCGCAAGATGTCTACCGCTTCTATCGACCAAACACCAGAATCTTATACGACGATCTGCCACCACATCCAACTGCCCGCGTATCAAGCTTCTCTTTCGTTCGGGTGATCCTGAAGCTCGCTCCAAGCTCGAAGCATCCGACTGCTAAGGATCCCGTCAGCTTCCATGACGGTAGTGTTTGCCGTAGGTGAGCCCTAGCTTGTCCCATTTCTACGTATTCGAAACTGATGGTCATTCCTAGCACCATCTTGACCCCACACGATTGTGTCTCGTATATTTTCATGAGGATGCTGTAGCCGGTTGCAGTCCTGAGTCTACCTCGAGCTCACATCCTTCGATTACACCATCTGCACAGAGGATGTGCTCTCTGCCTGTCACACTCTACCTGACGTGTCTGACTTCAGTTCGCCGACGCTGGCCGCCGTTTGAGCCGTCGTTTTCAGCTGGCCTCTATTCAGCCTTTGCGCCTGCTTCGCGCACTCTCGACTAGAGCCGCCGGTCTCTTTCTTAGTGTGCTCATTGCCGTCCCGCATGGAAAACCAGGCAACTTGATGACAATCCACGCGACTTCAAGGTTGCGCTCGAACTCGACTGGTGGCGATCGGACGAAGTGCATAGTGGGAGTTGTATACAGCAATTACGATAACTGCCCTAAGCGCGATTCCCGCCTGTAGAAGCGTTATGGACTGCGTGTGCTGTTGATTGATCATGTCCAAGTACGCAAATAAGGACGTCCTGTAACCGCGGTAGCTAGCTCGTGAGACCCCGAAGCAGGTGATATAAGTACATAATGAGCAGCAGCGGTGCATCTTCTCGGAAAATGGCTGGCACAGGGCTGTCTATTCAGGCACATCTGCATGCCTGAGAGAACGCAGGAGAGCGCACGCGTACGATGTTGATTAGCTTCGTTGTTATGTATGGACGTTATTGATCCGCGTCGACTGTGGGATGTTCAACTTCGAACCTGGGTATAAGGGGCACAGTACCTGAATACGGCCTTGGCGAAGCACGTCCATGGACGACCAGGTCGTGTTGAGCAGCATCGAAAGCGCGTTGAGAGTGGGGGACCGCGTGCCGTACGACTCTTCCTCTGACGTCCATCTGCAAGCAAATGCCATTTCTAAATCGAATTCAGGCTGTGGCGCGATGCGCGCATCCTACCCGCCTACGCGGCAATCGTCTCACCACTTGTCGCTGTATCGCACTATACTCTCGTGCGTGTGTACCAGAATTTCGAACGGGTGAAAGGAGGACCAACGAGCGAGTCGCCGCGGTCGTTGGCCGAGCACATCAGAGAGCACGGTGGCTACACCATAGTCGCGCATAAGGTCACCCGTGCAGTCTCTTTACTCGCACTCTTCGTGATACACCTGGTTGGTTTGGTGGAGCACAGCAGGACCGACTCGAGCGAGCGGAACGCACGCCTGGAAGAGGACGGACAACGCGCGATCGACTTAGTCCGGTGTGTTGCCTATGTGCGTGTGCCCTCTTACCTTTCGCAGGTCGACATACTGACTTACTCGTCGAACCCAGGGTTACATCCTTCTTTTATCCCTTGGAGCTCTCTCGACCCGACCCCGGCTCGCTCATGTTATCTCCGTGCACCTCTCCTTTATCCTTGTCTGCGACTTCGCCGTCTACGCCTACCGCGACCTATGGCCCCTCCTTACGCTCACGCTATCACCTCTCGACCGCGCAGAGGGAGCCATTCTATGGATCAAAGTTGCGCTCGTCACGTATGCCGCGGTACTCATTCCACTCGTCACGCCTCGGCGATACGTGCCGGTAGACCCCGCCAAACCGCAAGCACAGACGAACCCAGAACAAACGGCATCAGCGTTGTCGTTCCTCACCTTCACCTTTCTCGATCCATACATCTTTGCTGCATATCGTCAGAAGAGCTTGGACTTCGAGCGGTTTCCGGCCCTATGCGACTACGACTACGCGAAGAACCTCATCAAGCGCAGCTTCAAGCACCTCGACCGGTTCTCCGGTGCACCCTCCCAGCACATGCTCATTGCGTTCATCAAGACCTTTCGTATGTCGTTCGTCTGTATTGAGCTATCCGCTGCATGCTGACCGGCTGCCAGCTTGGGAGTTCGTGGCTCAGATCTTGCTGATCTGCTTGCACGTCCTCGGCAAGTTCTTGGAACCCATTGGCATCAACCGCTTGCTCAAGTGCGTGACGTGGTTTATCGAGGTCCTTTCCACCTAACTGGTGTGGTGCAACGTCTAGCTTTGTTGAGACGGGTGGCGAGGGCGCCGTCGTCCGTCCGTGGGTATGGATCAGCTTCATGTTCTTCGGTCAGTGTTCCCTTCTCACCTACCCGTCGAACCGAGACTTACGCGCCCTTTCCACCTGTACAGGACCGTTCATCGGCACCGTCGCCTTCCAACTTTACTTCTACATCAGCACGCACACGCTCGTGCGCCTGCAGACCATCATCACGCAGTTGATCTTCGAGCATGCCCTTCGCATGCGCATGAAGGCGGAGACGGACGATGCTGCAAGACAGGGCGAGGAGGTCGAAGGCAGCGGCGGCGCGAAGAAGTCGGACAACAGCAACCTAACTGGGAGGATCAACAATCTGGCATGCCCCTGTCCGCTCGATCTAGAATCGATACTCATCAGCGCCTTCAGGTCGCGACCGACACGACGAACATTACGGACGGACGGGACTTCTTGTTTCTCAGTACGATCATGGTCCTGCCACGCGACGCTATTCCAAATCTGACATGAACATCTACAGTACTCTACTCCCCGTTACAGTGTGCGGTCGCAATCTACTTCCTGTACACGTTGTTGGGCTGGAGGTACGTTACACTGACCATCCTGCAAACAAGACTCTGACCCGCCAATCTTAGTGCGCTCATAGGCCTGGCTCTCATGATAGCCAGCCTTCCACTTCCGGGATGGATCGCCAGTCAGATGCAGAACCTCCAACGGACCGCCATGAAGAAGACCGATGCGCGCATTCAGACGGCGACTGAGAGTGCGTCTCTATTCTTTTCCTGGACCCATTCCTCATATCTGACTGACTCTACCCTCGACAGCACTGGGTATCTTGCGTATGATCAAGCTCTTCGGCTGGGAAGGCAAGATGAGCGAGCGCTTAGCCGCGAAACGCGAGGACGAGCTGCACTGGATCATCCGCAGAAAGCTCGCGGACCTCGCCAACAACGTTGTGAACGACATGATCCCGATCTCGCAGATGCTGGTCACGTATGCCGTCTTCACAGTAGTTATGAAGAGGGAGATGACTCGTAAGCTGAAGTGTCAGTTCTACCGGAAGTACTCTCTGACGTTAACATACAGCTTCTCTGGTCTTTTCAACGATAACCGTCTTTGATCTGCTTCGCCAGCGTGAGTCAACCGATCTCGGGCGAGATCACCCTATTCTAACTGCTCATGCAGAGCTCATCATGGCTATGCACATCCTTCAACCCGTCATCAACGCGAAGGTCTCTCTCGAGCGCGTCTCCCACTTCCTCCACGAAACCGAACTCCTCGACCGCTACACCATCGGCGACGCTGCCAGCGCTGCTCACCACGACACCTCTATCATCGGCTTCCACGACGCAACATTCACTTGGTCGAGCGACACAACGTACTCGTCCACGAGCCGTACCTTCACCCTGCGCGTCCTAGATGAGCTCGTGTTCAAGCGCGGCGCGGTCAATCTCATCATCGGCCCGACCGGCTCCGGAAAGACAAGCCTTCTCATGGCGCTACTCGGCGAGATGCACTTCAAGCCGACGTCACCTCACTCATGGTATAACTTACCGAGGGCCGGTGGCGTCGCTTATGCTGCACAGGAGAGTTGGGTACTGAACAAGACGATCAAGGAGAACATCCTCTTTGGCGCCCCTTACAACGAGGACCGCTACAACAGAGGTAACTCCCGCTCCGTATTTTGACTCCAACGTATCGCTAACCTCTATGCAGTTATCTACCAGTGCGCTTTGAAGCACGACCTATCCCTGTTCCAAGCCGGTGACGAGACCGAAGTCGGCGAACGCGGTCTCACGCTCAGCGGCGGCCAAAAAGCGCGCATCACGCTCGCACGTGCAATCTATTCCTCCGCCGAGATCCTTCTCCTCGACGATGTACTCGCCGCTCTGGACGTGCACACCGCTAAATGGATCGTCGATAAGTGCTTTAGCGGCGATCTCGTACGTGGACGGACTGTACTGCTTGTGACGCACAATGTCGCACTCACACGCCCTATCGCCGAGTTCGTCGTCGCGTTTGGGTCGCAAGGAGCAATCGTCAGCCGCGGAACGGTGGATGATGCGCTTGAGAAGGATGACACTCTTAAACACGAGTTCGAGGAGCAGGCGATCGTCATTGAGAAGACCGAGTTGGAGGTCGTTAATACCGAGGAGCCGGACGCCGACAGCAAACCGACGGATGGAAAGCTGATCGTGGAGGAAGAGGTCCAGCGAGGCCGTGTCTCTTGGCCCGCCAGTGAGTGGTATCTTAAGTATGACCTGTCATTCACTGACTAGCTCTCATCAGTACGCCTCTTCCTTTCCGCACTTGGCGGTGGATACCCTCTCGCTTTCTGGCTCGGCTTCGCGTTCTTCTTGGCCCTCTCTAGTGCCTTGCCCAATATACAAGTGAGTTTCAAACCCCGCATTGCATAATTTTCAGTACTGACGCATTTAGGTGTACTGGCTAGGTACCTGGGCCGAGGCATACGATCGGGCCTCGCGCTGGCAAGATGTCAACATTGCATTGTACGTGGAATCGTGTCCCTCTCGGCGCGAAGTACTCTATCTTGACTATCTCTCCAGCTACTTGGGCATCACCGTTCTCATTGCTATCGGATCAAATGTCGCGTACTCTTGCGAGGGCGTGGTGTACATGTTCGGTTTTATCCGCGCTTCCCGCAAGATTCATCAACAGCTCGTCGACGCCGTTCTCGGTACGACGCTGAGGTGTGCAATCATCGCTACTCCCTTTACCCTTCTGCTCTGACACTTAGTCACAAGGGTACTAGACAAGACTCCCATCAGTCGCATCTTAACTCGGTGTACGGTTGACATGAGAACCGTCGACGGACCTCTCGCTGCGTTTCTCGAACAGGCGCTCGGAGCTCTCGTCGACATACTCTTCAAGCTCATCGCCATCGTCATCATGGCCCCCGCCTTCCTCGTTCCAAGTCTTCTCGCGTTCGTCATCGGGCGCTTCATTGGTCAGATATACACGGCGGCGCAACTAGCCGTGAACCGCGTGATGTCCGTCAAGAAGGCGCCGGTGCTCGGGAACTTCGGGGTCGCCATCGCCGGGTTGAGTATGTCTGCTTTGCATTGCTGCTCTCAGCCTGTACTGACGTCGAGAAGCTTCTATCAGGGCTTACAACGCCGAGGACGCCTTCCGCCAGGAGGCGTACAAGACTTCGGACGAGTACATGAGAGCTGCACGTATGTCACTTCGATACTGCCATACATGCAGCATGCGCTGACACGACGCACTCAGGATTGAACTACAATACCAACCGTTGGCTCAGCACACGCATTAGCGCACTGAGCGGCTTGTTCTCTGCTGCTCTCGGGTCCTACCTCGTCTATGGTCCGGGTCGTTCCGCCCTTCCGTCGGACATCGGCTTCACCCTGAACATGGGCGGTGCGTTCGGTCTCTCACTCTTCGTGACTACGGATTGCTGAACACGTCGTCGTAGTGGGGTTCTCGGGAAGCATACTATGGTGTGTACGGGTCTTCAACATGCTCGAGGTCCAGGGCAACAGGTGATTTGTTGACCTTTTTTGAAGTCATTTCGTACGCTAATGTTTGTTGTATAGCCTGGAACGTATACACGCGTACCTTGCCCTCGAGCAAGAGCCGCAACCTGTGAAGGAGAAGATCCCACCAGCATCATGGCCATCGAGCGGCGAGCTGCGCGTCGAAAGCCTTTCAGCACGTTACTCGCCCGAAGGGCCACGCGTCCTTCACGAGCTGTCATTCACGATCAAGTCAGGCGAACGCATCGGTATTGTCGGACGCACAGGGAGCGGGAAGAGCTCGCTCACCCTGTCTCTGCTGCGCTGCATCCTCACCGAAGGCTCAATCATTTTCGACGGCATCGACACAAGTACCATCAACCTCGACGTCTTGCGCTCGAACATCACCATCATTCCGCAGGTGCCGGAGCTGCTCAGCGGTACTCTGCGCGAGAACCTGGATCCATTCGGCGAGCATGATGATGCTACGCTCAACGCTGCTCTCCGTTCGGCCGGTTTGCACTCGCTGCAGAAGGACATCAAAGAGTCCGACTCTGCGCGTATCACGCTCGAGACGCAGGTAGCGAGTGCCGGAGGGAATCTGAGCGTCGGACAGCGCCAAGTTCTGGCGCTTGCGCGCGCCCTTGTGCGCGGCAGCAAGCTGCTTATTCTGGACGAGGCGACAAGCAGCATCGACTACGAAACGGACGCGATCATACAGAACTCGCTCAGGACTGAGCTCGGTGGAGACGTGACGTTGCTCACGGTTGCGCATCGCTTGCAGACCATCATGGATGCCGACAGAGTTGTACGTTCTCTGGAGTTACCGAGCTTTGTACATGAACTAATACTCAATTGATAGATGGTACTTGATGCCGGTCGGATCGTCGAGTTCGATACACCTAGCGCGCTTCTTGCCGAGGATGCCGGGTACTTCAAAGCGCTCGTCGAGGAAAGCTCGGATAAAGAGGCATTGTATGCGATGGCTGAGGGCAAGATGCCTACGGCTTAGATATCTCCGTCTCAGGACTCCCCCCTTCTCTTGTGAATCCGAAAGATAGGAATATACATCATATTAGTATCGGCATTCTTTTGGTCTCCCGCGTATTTAATGCTAGCGAGCGGTCCGTGTTATGTCCGACCCAAGTCCGACCTTGCCTGAATCACACCATGAAGATCGTGCGAACTCAATGCTATATTGACGAAGCAAAGAGAAGTACTGCAGTACATAAAAGCACAGGTGAACGAGGCGCAAGCCTACACGGCGCAAGCAGGCAGCGCGAGATGATCTGGGTTAATTGATTTGCTGCAGCAAAGCGAGTCGGCGGGTGATTTGACATGCAAAGTATGGAAGACATGGGCTTACCAATTCGCGGCGCGGCAAATATTACCGGCCCAACGACCGGCCCGTGCCAGCTATTCTTGTCCATTCAAGACCCTCGGCTTACTTCCTTAGCTGTTGTGCGATCCACGATCGACAACCAGCTATCCAAGTTATCCGTCCGTCTAACAGACATCGAGCTCCACACGGCCCCCTCGTTGGGTGCGGGGTTCTCGCCGCGCCAAACAATGCGGGCCTCTCTGAGTCGATCATCAGTGAAACATTCAAATAACATACAACCGCAAGCTATATGGTACTCACCGACATATTATCGAGCAACACCGCCATCACCGTCTCCACGACGACGACTTGCTGCAACAACCGTTAGGCGTCGCGCACTCCCACAAGGCCAATCGCCGCGCCGCGCCAGCGGCGCGCGATCTGACCAGGTGTCCGCATAGTTCATCTACTCGCGCGTCCACTGCCCGGCCGAAGCAGTGTCAGTGTGTAGGCACTGACGAGGACACCGCCGACATAGGACCAGCGACAACAGGAAGGGGACCGAGTCCAAGTCGCATCTTATCGCGAGACGCGCGTTTTTGATCAGGGAAGTTGCCGGCGCAGATCAGATCCCGTTAGGCGCATACGCCTCCCGGCTTCATCTCAACCACCACCGGGGTGTTGCGTTCGAGCCTACTCTATACTACATCTCTATACCCCATCGGCAACGAATGCATCATGACAAAAAAGAAGCTGGCTACGCGTCCATGCTGAATAGAATGCCGAGCACTGTCGTTGCGGAACTCCGTGCTAAACGTCAGCGGGTTGGCGCAAGGGCAGTCAGGCGGCGTGGCCTCGCCGTACACGCTCATAGTACTTAACTGCTATATGCAGTAAACAAGAGCTCACACTCGTGCGTCATGTCAGTTTCCACCCCGACCGGGATGGCAATCGCAGAATACCTAGCATGGCTGGGCCGCTTTCTACTTCAGCCTAGTCACATCGCCGTATTGATTGTGTTCTGGCTAGCAGGATCTCTATACTATGCAATCTCCATACGTCCTCGCTTCTTCTCTCCCTTACGCGGTACCACAGGGCCACCCGTAAGAGTATCCTTACTAGGGCACTTCCGCGAGACAATGAGGAGCGAACCAGGCGTTGCGGAGATGCAGTGGACGCGCGAATATGGACCTGTCGTGCGGACAGTTGGTCCTTTCGGTGGGGAGCGCATGATCTTCTTGCGTCCCGAGGCGCTGCAGAAGATCCTTGTGAGCGAATGGACGGATTACGAACGCGTAAGTCCATACCTTCGTCCAGGCAGACCTCAACGCTAACCTGCGAATATCAGCCAAAGCCGATGCGGAATCTGCTGGGACTTGTGGCCGGATATGGCCTCCTTACGACAACAGGGAATGAGCACAAGCAAATGCGACATGCCATGAACCCGGCGTTCTCGCTATCCAACCTCATGAATCGTGCGTTTGCGTTCGCGATCCTGTAGATAGGCATGGGCTGATCTGGACTCAGAGACTGATATGTACTTTGACACTATCGACGTCCTGGTTGAATCCATGCAATCTGAGCTTGAGGGCTCTGCTGAGGGGAAGGTCCTACATATGTACGAATGGAGTACGTCTTTAATCATCCTCGCTAGTGCCCTCTAACGTTGACCTCAACCTGACAGTGAATAAGGCCACACTCGACATCATCTGTGCAACAGCTTTCGGATACGACTCGGACTCCTTGCGCGACCCGCACAACCCCTTGGCGCGAGCATACGAGTCTTTGACCTCTCTTCAATCCGGACCAACAATGGCGAAGATAATGGGCATCCTTATGCTCCCATTCGCGCCTGCGCTACTCAAGACACGACTAGGGCTGAAGATGTCACCTCTCTTCCGTCGGATTTGGCTGTTCGGACCGCCGATAGCGACGCTCGTGGAGACGACGCACCAGATCCGTGAACTCAGTCGCGGCATCCTTCGGGAGAAACTCGTAGACAGCGAGGGCGAGATCAAGGGCGACCGGGAGACGAAGAAGGATATCATGAGCTTGCTCGTGCAAGCTCGTCAAGGTAGCGCGAAGGATGGGTATCAGCTGAGCGACGAGGCGCTTGTGGACCAGGTATTGACCTTCCTCGGCGCCGGGCATGAAACTACCGCTTCTGGGCTATCATGGGTGCGTATCTCTTTAAAATAGTCGGAGATCGTCGTTGAGATCGGTCGATGCAGGCACTGTGGCTCCTTGCCAATCATCAAGACGTACAGAGCCAGTTGCGATCAGAGCTTGAGCCGATCTTCACTACAAACGATCGCCCTAGCTACCGTGACTTGAAGGAACTCAAGCTTCTTGACTGCGTCGTGTACGTACAGAGCTACGTTTGCATCGGATCTCGGCATACTTACCTCGAAGTACAGCATGGAGGCACTCCGGCTCCTTCCTCCCGTTCCCATCACCGTTCGTCAGGCCGGCAAAGACGACTGGATCGACGGCGCTTTCGTACCCAAAGGGACCTTACTCTATATATCCGTGCGTGAACATCTCGACGTCGTCTTCCATTCGCTCACCGTCATTCGTAGATCCGCGCCATCAACACTTACGCGCCCGTATGGGGATCCGATGCCGCGGAGTTCAAGCCAGAGCGCTGGTTGAAACTTCCTCCCACCTACGACTCGACCTTCAGCTTCCAAAGCTTCATCGCCGGACCGCACGGGTGTATTGGGAAGACCATGGCAATCAGCGAGATGAAGGCTGTCGTAGCGTACGTCCTTCTCGGGTGCAACGCCCAGTTAGTATAATATTGATAGGCGCCCTGATAGCTCCATGATTGCACACTTCGAGTTCAGTCCGTCGTATGACGGCCAGACTGCTAAGCCCACGGCAGGTGTCACCATGAGTACGCCATTCTTTCCATACCTTGGCGCGTCTAGTCTGACGATCTCCGTCACTGTAGAGCCGGCCGATAACATGCCTCTTCTTGTCAAGGCTGTGAAGCGCTCATGATGTTCGTTCTGTGTACTTGTCGTACGACAGTGTATTCTGGCACGTGTCCGATATTCTAAGTTGCTGCCATCGACGGCCTTGACTCTGTGCCATCCCTGTTGGGTCATAGAGAGCGAACCCCGGACCCACTGGTCCGCGTGTTGTAGGGTTCATCGTGCGAACCAGCCGCAAGTAGCGCCCAGCGCCCGCCATAAGTACCTTCGGCGCACTAATTGCGCGCCCCGGAGAACTCCCCTCCGACGCATGTTGGAGTCGTGTCGACGTCCCACAGGCGTCTTCGCGAGCCTGGTGTGCGCACATGCATGCGTACACTCGGCAATAGTTCGACCGTCGACCCTTATCGGCGCTTGGACACCATCTCGACCGCGGCCACGTAGGCTTCGTCCGGGAACCATCGAGCGCACTGGCTATCAAGCTGTGCGCTTGAACGAACCTTTGCTCACGCATGTGTGAGCATCGGTATTATCGGGCAGTCTCGTAGTGAGTCGCCACCATAAGCACGCTGATATTAGTATAACTGATGCAGTTCTTAGAAGAGCTTCGCCCATGATTTGCGGCCGGGATCGCTCTCGTCCGCTATCTGGTACGCCACTCAACGGCTTCGTAGACATACTCTCAGTGCTGATTGAAAACCAGCAAATCAATTACCCCAGAACATCACGGAGTGCTGCTCCCTGTCAACTCGAAGGCTTGCAAGCTCCACCTCTTATGCCTCTCATTGTCGCCTTGCTTATGTTGATGTATCCCTCATATACCTTCTCTCAACTCTTCCTTTTGTGCTCTCTTCACCTGCTCCACATGTGAAATAAGTTCAGCCGCGAGCACAATGACTTTGAATACGGAAAGGCCGACAACCTTCACCGCACGCATCTTGCTATGAGCGGGCGGCCGACAGAGCCAGAGCAGGGCGTGTTCAGATTGATGAGACGAGAAAATTCGATCTGCATTTCGTCTAGTATTCTACTACAGCTGTTGAGCTATACAACGTTCCTTGATATGTAAACCCTCTGACGAGAACCCTGGAGAACTCGGTGCACTCGCCAAGCCGACGCGTAGTATCTGCGACATTCGCCGCGACCTCACTCCCGAGCCGTACTGTACAAGGTACCACGATAGACAAATCCCCGCCCGAGGTCCTTGGAAAACTCATTGCAATCGACCGAGTCTAGGTAGTTCCTCTTATCATTGACGACCTCCATAGTCTCCAACGGTACGTTTGCTCGCATAGCCTCAGCGCAGTATGCGAGGGCGTGCCCCAGTATACCGCGCACAAACATCACGGCGCGAGGGCCAGTACTGACTTCTGTTCGTGTATGGGCACCGGTCCATGTGAGGTCGAGCATGATGCTCTCGATGACGCAACCACCTCTGTCTCTCAGGTGTTCATCTAGAACCTCAAATAGGGTAGTCGCCGCTGGAGACTCGGGGCGAATCATCACAGTGGTTACAGTGGGTAGTGTCGCGAAGAGCACTCTCCACACGTCCGCGTCGATTGGCGCACTTGTGCGCACATCGAGATGCGTGACCTGAGAAATCGGCCAATACTGTAGGATGGTTTGTAGAGCATTGATCTGCGAAGAGACTGTGTCGAACGTGGCCACGGCGCAAAGGTACGGTCGTGCGCGCGGTCGTCCAGTCTCCCCCCACTGCGGGCCGGTGATGCAAAGACGGGGTTCAAGGTCACCCGTAAGACCGGACTGAAAGAGTTGCGCCGCGAAGCCTCTGGGCTCCCTCACTAGGCCAAGGACACGGATTGCCGGCGCGTCAGCTCTGGAGGCATGATCCTTGAAGTAAGAAAGTGAAGAGGGGGGAGCTGAAAGATTGGCATCCCATGCTTTGCGCAAGTTCGATGTTGCGATGCTTGTAGTGCATGGCAAGTCTCGGAGGGCGCGCAGCATGTTGCTGCAAAACTCGTCGGTGCCGCGTAAGGTGACGGAGGCCAGATGCGACAACGCTGCATATCTGGCTGCGGGTGCCGCCTCGGGTCTAAATGACCCGGGCATTATCAATTGGAGATGCTCGAGAAGCGGGCATTGGACAAGGGCATCGAGTATGTCCGATAACTCAAAGGTTATCGAGAACCCCTGCTTGAAAGAGGCGTGCAGGCTTCGCAGGCCTTGAATAGAGTTGAAGTTGAACGCCATGCAGTCAACCGACAGGTGTCGCAATTGCGGGGTATGAACACCCAACACAATATCTGGGATCGAGCTGGGATTGGTCTGTTTATGGGAGCGCATCGTAAGGTGTCTGAGAGTTGTATGCGGATGTGCTTCTAGCTTTTCCGATACTTTCTCTGTATACCAGCGGTTGCTCCCAACTGTCAGAGAGTACAAGGTAAGAGGATCCCACAGCGCCGAGATGAGAGTGGCTTGCTTGTTGGATTCACGGCCTTGTAGCATTCCAATTTTCACTGTCAACGGCCATTTCCCTGCACGAGTTCTCTGTATTAGAACGCGCCTTAACGTGCGAGTCACGTTTCCGTCTCGATCGCGATCGTCGGAGAGGTCGATGCTACTCCAGAGCTCCGGAGTGCTCATACCAACATCGTACCAGTGTCGGCATACGAACAAAAGCTTGGTCCATCGCAGATTGGCAAGTGCAAAGTCATCTCTCGCATAGATGACGAAGATTGTCGAAAGGAGCTCAGGAAGTAGAGTGGCCATTGGCGACGGTAGAGCGTCCCGCCTCTCTTCAACCTGCAGACGCTCAATACGAGAGATGTTGCGCTGCAGTTCCGTGTCGGTATCATCGCGCGATGAGGCGCCGCCGCCATGAAGTCCATCTTGCATGACATTGGTCAGCTCTGAGCTGTCAGGATGGGGAGTTTGAGAATCCATCATCGAGGGCGGTGGTAAGAAGCAAGCATCCGTCGCAGGACGGATAGCCTTGGTCATGGTGCTGGCCTCTCTTCCCACGGTCGAACTTCGACAGTTTCTGTACCGGAATGTATTGCATCGGCATATCTACAACAGGAGTCTCTCATCGCGCTTATACCATTGTGGTCCTATCTGAAGTACAAGCGCGTACCCTCGCAGGTGCCAGGTGGTCACCTGGCGACACATCATGATGTGCTTGATTATCTCCTTCCCGACACCACGATCGCACCTCCATGCTCTCGGAGTTGAGGAGATAATCCACCATACATATACATCATAAGTATAATAAAAGCCGAGCCGACGACGATAGAGAGAGAACGAGAAGCGTGTTGGGAGTAGCGTTCAAAGAAGAGCCTATTTCTACAGATACAACATGGCGCAACAACACGAGGGACTGGGACGAGGACGGGCGGATTGATACCAGAGCCTTTCGACGATTGGACTAGGGAACAAACGGGCAGGCAAAGGACGGGTCGTGGGCGACGTGAGGTCTCCGCTCGCAAAACAAAGCCAAGAATAGAGCGGGGAGTCCGGGGGTATGCGTGTGGATAGTAACAGAATATAGCAGAGTCGTAGTCGTAAACGAGAGAGGGTGTGCAGTAGAGCGAGCAAGCCATAGGGTGCGATCATACAAGCGCCGCGGACTTGAGGTAATCGCGGAAGATCGAGTCGCGGACTATCCGAAAGGTGATTAGTTCGGAACGGTGGCGGTATGACATGGTTAGCGCGTACCGTTGGCAATGATGCTGCGGGTGGTTTTGGTATCCTAGATGCCCGTGGTAAGCATATGGGTATCACGGAGGAGATGTAGGGTTGGAACACGTACCACGACGCTCGTAAAGTGCGAGTAAAGCACCCGATTCTTCTCGTTGTTCTTCCTATGCACTTGGTTGAAGTGCGCGCGGAAGTACCCCACTACGGTCTCGTAGTCGTTGGACCGGTCGCCGAAGGATGTGATATATTTCTTCACTTGTACGCCGGCGCTGATCTTCTGCTGCAGGATGTCGACCTTGTCTGCGGGAGGAAAGAATGCGCGTCAGAAACTACTGATGATCCGTGGGAAGATTCGCGCGGCCAAGAGAAGAGAAGGCCGTTTGCGCGCGAGAAATAGATCGGCGGGCGCCTTTGCGAAGGCAACAATGTGCGCGCGCAGGATGGCGAGATGAGGGGAAACACGTACTGAGGAAGAGTACGAGATGCACGCCCTTGAGTAGCCTGTTGGAGCATATTGCCGTGAAGAGCTGTAGTGAATCATCGATCCGGTTCGTCCGCGGGTCTTCTTCAAGGTACTGTTGATTCCATCATCAGCTGAAAACCCTAGAGAGCGTGGATCGAGAGAAAGATGACACAGAAACAGGCCAGAGGCGACTGTTGGAAGGACCGCGAAGGAATTTGAAAGATGGCAGGGTGTGGGTGAGATGATGATCGGCGCAGAGTTGGGCCACCGGGCGCGAGGATTCAGAGCGGAGGGAGAGGTATACTGCAAGGAGATAATGCGATAGGATGGCATGCCGTTATACACACCTGGTCGAACGCGCTCACGGGCGCCACGAAGATGATCGCGTTAGCGTCGTCGAAGTAAGGTATCCAGGTGTGCCGTTGTCCTCGTGCACCACCGACGTCGTACAGATGCCATGTCACACTTTTGCCGTGTAGAGGTACCTCAAACTGGTGTTCCGCAACGCCCATCGTCTGTATCCGTGCGTGTAGGATGTCGTCTATCAGTGATCAGAGTCAACCGCGTGAACGCGCAGTACGAATATTGAGGGTCACACACCAATGACAGGAACATAATCTGGTTGAGCGATACGCATCACGTCGTTTAGGAAGCTAGATGGGTAGGCGCATCAATGTGGGAATTCACGAGCCGCCGGGATTGGCAAGTTGATGGAGATGAGATGCTCACTATCCAGCGGAGTCCTCCAACCGTAACCTCCGGCGCTTGATCATTTTCTGCGTCGTCTCGTTGCGCCAGAGGGAGAATACGTCCGACTTGCACGCATCCAGCACTCCCGCTACCTCCTGCACCACAGCCAACAATCCTCCGTGTGACAGCTCGATGCCGTCCGCGCTTCGCGTGGAGCGATGTCCAATCCCAGACGTGAGAGAGAAAGAGGCGAGGGATTGCCAGCCACGTCGTGCGAACACCTTGGACTGGTTGGGATTCGCAGAGCGCATCCCACCGCTGAGCTTGTCCGCTAGCAGTGCCTCGGCGGCAATTAATGGGGCGAGTTTCATCCTGAGCATAGCGATGTGCCGTTGGTTCTCCAGAACAAGCGCGGCCTTGGAGGATGAGGCCGAGGAGCCGGACATTCCGATGCTAGAGCCAGCTGGTCGTCGTGATGTAGACCTGTAGCGGCCGCGAGCGCCGACGGCGTCTGAGCTCGAGTCTGACATTTCGGGAGAGTCGTCCTCCGCCGTGTCGCCGTAAAGCTCCAACACCTCCAAAATAAGTTTCACGGAGCGTGCAATGTTGAAATAGACCACGCTGCGCCAGGATGCACGCTCTGCCTCGAGCGATTCCGGGTTGTACATGAGCTGGAACTGTTTCTGGAGCGTGCTCTTGCCCGACTCGGCTTGACCGAGCAATAGAAGCTGTCAACAGCATAAGGTTCAGACATACAATGCACAATTTAGTCAATGAAACGCACTCGAATATCCTGGCGTTGCTTGTCCCATTGCCTCTTATCCTGACGTAGCTGTTCGTCAATCTGCTCGGATACACGCTTGGCCTCGGCCTCTTTCTGGAGCCTGATCCTGCGTTCGCCCTCTGTCTCCGTCTCTGGCGGGCGCAATGCCAGCGTGAGCGGGTCATCGCTCAGGTCGGCCGGAGGACGGCGTGCGGTGAGCATTTGATGGCGGAAGTAAGAGACAGGGAGGGCAGGGAAGGGGGTTTGATGGCGCCGTGTGTCGCGCTTGTTATACGGAGCAGTGCACCATATAAGCTTCACGTGGTACTTTTGATCTCGTTAGGTACGATGTTAACGACATGTTAGTCCCGCCTTGCACCACCTCCACCACCACGCAGCCCTAGAAATGGTACTTTGCTTCGCCCTTTCTTTCTGATCCTGATGTCGTTTTGTTTGATTGACCCGAACGTCCTTGCCAGTCGGTGACGCTGCACACCACTCACGGCGATCTCAAGGTCGGCGCGTTCCCCGCATCCACTGCACCCCGGCACTCATGGACGGCCTCAATCTCAGATCGAAGTTTTCTGCGAGGCGGTTCCCAAAACGGCTGAGGTCCGTACTAATCTGAGTGCAAGTGCGAGTCGGACGCGTTGGAATAACGTTGTGGCTGTGCTCTTCCGCCGCTTGCTTAGAACTTCCTGGCTCTTTGTGCTTCCGGGTACTACGATGGATGCCTCTTCCACCGCAATATCAAGGGCTTCATGGTCCAGACTGGTGACCCTTCCGGCAATGGTAAAGGCGGACAGAGCATCTGGGGAGCTCCGTTCGCTGACGAAGTACGCTCTACACTCAAGGTAACGCTAATACCCAGCTGTGGCGCTTTGCAAGGTCGTGACTGCGGTTCTACAGTTCAACAATCGCGGGATAGTCGCAATGGCGAACTCGGGACCGGACACGAACAAGTCGCAGTTCTTCGTGACCTACGCTAAGCAACCCCATCTGGACGGAAAGTACACCATCTTCGGCAAAGTCATCGACGGTGCAGACAGCACACTCGACGCGATCGAGCGTGTCCCGGTGAACGCGAAGAACAGGCCGCTTAACGAGATCAAGCTTATTAACGTATGTCCGGATCTCTTGACAGCCCTGTCTACGCGTCAGCGTCCTGTTCGGCAATCATACCTATCCTATGCTCATACGTGGAAGAAAGGCTTTGGCTGACGCAGTCTGTCCATTTACCACAGATCACCGTGCACGCCAATCCCATTGCAGACGCTGCCTTACGGTCATCGTAGAGCGCTCTCATTCGGATGACACCGACCAGCACAGCCCCACCATACAGTAGCGCCCGCGCCCTACACCATTAGATTGAAAGATCTGGAGTTGGGCGCTCATCGACATCCTCGGAGGGAGAGATGCGCCGTTGGTGTGTGTCAGAACAGGGCGCTAGGTGATGTTTGGACGGAATTCGCCGGTATGATTGACCGGTACCGGTGTGCATGCAGTGGTGTATGATCGTCGAGATGTCGCTTCGCGTATATGCTGTACTCATACCATCACCGCTTACTCACGGAGATCAATATATTGTCTGTGCCGCTATGCATGCATATGAGAGCGAGAAGCCGTACTGAATAGCTTTCTCATGTCTTGACACGAAGGGTAACGGCAGTCTGTACACGACCTTCGAGTAGACTTCCGACTCACAGCGGAGACACGGTGATTGACTTCAATCTCGATATAGTATACAGCGTTTGTGCTTCCCGCCATCACCATCGGCCCGTCCGCGAGCCCAGCCCGACGTCCAGCGCTTCCTTGATATGCTCGCACCGTCACCGAAAGCCCAGACTCACGCCTATGGCCTCTTGATAAACCCGACAAGCTCGCGCTGCAGTGCCTGTTGCCTGCGCGCATGTTCGAGATCCTCGACGCTGCGCAAGTCGGAAACGATATCCCGCGTCTTGCCAAAGTACACCTACAGCGCGCACGGGCGGCCGCATCAGCATCTATACGGACGCGAAGTATCGGGCGGAGGAAATCATACCTCTTGCAGCAAATTCCGGATCTTCGCTTCCATTTCCTCGACCATCCGGCCCACGTTCGGGACGTGCGCCGCTTGCTCTGGTATTGGGTGGTCGGCTTCCATCTACAGAGCGCGTCGATCATTAGCGCCAATTGAGATCAGAGCGCACATTCGGCTCGTAAGGCGAAGAGGGCCGAAGGCCGAGGAGAAGGGTACAAGTCAAGTTGAGGAACGAACCTGGCGCGTCATGCTCCCGCTCAGATTGGTAGTGCCATTGCTCTTCCAGCCTTCCTCTTTATCCTTATCCTTGCTGTTCTCCTTGCCATCGGACTGGTGTGTGCGGATAAGTTGCAGCATGACCGTGCTCGTGAGCTTGTAGTGTGCCTGCCGCCCGCGCTCCGACACTTCGAAGACATGAATCGAGTCCCAAGAACCAGACGCCTCCGCGGTGACAGCTATGAGCGCCCAAGTCAACCTCGCCGCACCGTGAGGAAACGATAGGAACCACGCACTCTTCTTAAGCAATACCACTCCCGCAAACCCTCCGTCATCTAGATCCCAGAGATACACGGATGACAGACCGCCCTCATAGTACCTGACCGTCATGAGAAACACGTATGATAGGATAGAGATAGACTGTCAACGCACAACTCGCGATACATGTCAAACGCCTCATTCATCAATATCTCGAGCTTGCGCAGTTTCGGGCTAGGCGCGGTCCCGTCGTCCAGTGGCGGGTCGTACTCATTACTCCATGGTGACCTGTATCGTCCGCAATGTCAGTCCAGAATCCCGATATATCGATAATGCACTTGCGGCGCACCGGTACGACTCGCCGTCGCGGTTATAGTCGCAAGCAAGATATTCCTTTCCAGTTGCCGTATCCGCGCGCGATTTCAGAGGCTGATCAATGCTCCCGAGCAAATCATCTGCGTGCTCCGGTACCAAGTTAACAAGTGCGGCGACGTTCTCTTCGATCTGCGTCGGCGGAAGGCGCCGAAGCAGGTCGAGCATGGAGTCGAGCAGATCAGACATCGCGGCAATTCGGACTCCAAGCAGGCTGTCCCGATAGTAGAGTTTCGTTCAAGGTATTCAATGGCCAAGCAGTGGGTCTAGCAGGACCCGAGGACGTGCAAGATGGAGGCAGGAACTGAGTTGACCGGCTTCACCGATGCCATCATTTCAACCTGAGGCGAGGTCCACGTGGACCAGTAGATGTACATATCGGCATCGAAATATAGCTACAGCCTGTTTCGGACACTGTAAAAGTACACAGTGTGCTACATGTGCGCGTTCCGCCTTTCTGTCCTTCATTCTTCCACGC